ACGTTCCTCATCAGCCGCAAGGGCGGCACTCTACTGACGATCAATAACTTTGTTTATCGCTCCAATCTCAAGTTCTATGGCAAGAGCAATAATATCCTATATTGGGAATGCGTCCAAAATCGTTCGATGAAGTGTCGCAGTCGGCTGAAGACCATTGGAGATGATCTTTACGTAACGAACGGTTTGTCTTCCATGCTTACAGCTCTTATTTCAAAACATATATTAATTTGAAATGCATTCTTTTAAGATGTGCACAACCACATGGGCGACACGAAGCGCATCGAAGCAGCCAAGGCATCTGGCATGTTAATACACAAAAAACTTAGCTCCTTAACGGCCGCTGATCGCCTTCAAGGCTGGAATCGTGCTGAAGTCATATTAGATCAAATTGTTAAGTCTGAGTCGGCGTAGGATCCTGATTAATAATAATAATAGATGCTATCGAATAGTATCAAATCGGAGTACAATTGGTGAATGTACTTTTGAATCTATCACAAATCGTAGCTTACTTAATGCCTTTACATATATTGTCAATTAACTATGATTAGTTACTTATAATCGGATGAGGAGAGCAACTGAACACGGCCTTCGTAGTGAACTAATGCAATTGCTCATGTATTTATAACAAGTCCTAACAAATGTTAACAATCATAACTTTATTTCCTTCTACTATTCAAAGAAAGACATGCTTTTAAGTTAACTTAACAAATGATCAAAAATGTATTGATATAACGATCTAGTTGCGATTGTCGGATTCTATATTAATATTTCTCTCTCTTCGCTGTAAACCTTTTTTTAGCCGAACTCCGCTTGGGCGTTGCATTTTGATGGACATGCGAGGCGCACGAGAAGCGATATTTGATTTCAGTGCCCACCATAAAGGTGAAGACCCGCGCCTTGCAGCCCCTCGAATGCTGGGTGCAACGCCATGTGCCGATTTTGCCATTGCCTCGATGGGTTAGGAATTGATGTGGGCCAATTATTAGTTTGGGCTTCTTGTGTGCTGTCAGACTGAAAACAGCGCTCCCATCAAAATCCTTTCTGATAATCAAACCTTTCCTTTTGTAGCCACCAGTTTTGTCTGCAAGAAAGGCAAAAAAAAGCTGATCAAAAATTTAACTTCAAATGAATTTAGGAGTTTTTCAATGTGTCTATAAAAGTGTACAAGTTAAACGACCATTTGCGATCTTATTATTTGTTGTTTGTGTATTTTGATTACATCTTTATAGTTTTTAGAACAATATTTAAAATAAAGCCTTCTGAAAACGCCTTGTTCCAATTGTAATGGTTTCTTGATGTCCATCGTTAAAGGCATTCAAGCAATCTTTTTCCTGACAACCAAGTCCTATAAGTGAATGTTTACCTGCAAGAAAAAAATGCAATTAATCGTAAATATTCAAAAACTTGAGAAAGATAAAAAAAAGTATGCAAATGAAACTTCTGACTAAATATGTTTGTTTAATTTTGATCATTTGAAATGTACCGAAACTTACAAAAGTATCAATTGTGATTGGGTTTTATTAGGTACATTTTAGAATTAATCTTACTAAACTATATTTAACTTTACCTACCAGTCTGGATTGCACCAATATCTCATATTATTGGGATATCCTAACTGCATTTATCTTCAGCTTGGGTCTATTTGGTTTTAATTCGAAGACAGCAATGCCAACAAATGCACTGCTTTTCTTTATGGCTTTGCCTGCAAGAAATTAAATAGTTGACATTAAACCTAGATGAGGATCATATTTGGTGAATTTTGATATATTTTACAAGAATGTGTACAAATGAAACGTATAAATTTAGGCTTATCATAGTCTTTATTGTTTACGCTTGTTATATATCATCTCTCGTCGAGTGAATTAAATGTAGATCTAAAAACTTACGATATCTCCTATGACTCTATTTTACATATTCATAAAACAGTGATTGTTCGGACAGTTGACAGAATAAAGCTCCCGATTGCTCAGTTTGATAAATATGACTCGATGATTACAACTGCAAAACTGAGTCTAGGTTTAATAGAGAATTAGAATATATACAATTTTGTATCAATTGTATTTTCCGCTCGTTGTAATTTCCGAACAATCACTGCGTATATAAACTATTTATGGATAATTGACAATTGTTATAAAATATATATAAAGGTTTTTACAAAGTTGCACTTAAGATAGGTACTCTATATTTACAGCCGCAACTGGGTGTTTTTAGTAATCCTTGCTGATGTAGACGGCACTGTGGGCCTGTCCTATAGTCTGCAGCTGCGGCAATTGGTGAGCTTGATTCTGCTGACGCTGATGCTGCATCAGAGCCAGCATTTGGGGCGCCTGCACAGCGACCGGCAATGACATGGGCATTGCCAGTGGCATGGGCATGGCCAGGTGGGTTGTTGTCGTCGCAAACGATGCGGCGGGCAGAGACAGTTGCGTTACGCTCGCTGGCTGCTCAATGGCACTCGGGACTGCTGGAATCGTACTCAGTATTTCGGGCTTAGCATTAGTGATGACATTGCTCTTGGCCTGACAATACAGCTGGCAGAGAGGAAGTAGCTCCTTATGGCGTCTTTTGATGTGGCTGAGAAAGTTGCCAGTGGATTTGGTGGTGCCGGAGATGAGGCCGTAGCAACTGGTACAGGTTGCCTGTATGCCGCCTGGTGTCTTCTGATTAGGTTGTATATTCTTGTAGAACTTACCATCTAGAATTTTTGGCAGCGTATTCGGTTTGCGTAAGGATATCGAATCATCGTCGCTGTAACAGGCCATGGCCATGGCAGCCACAGCAGTATCGGCATCGCCAGCTATGACCCCTGTGTTGAAAGCGGGCTCCGTGTTGATCTCCTGCTTAATCAGCACTGAAAGTCAAAGTTAGAAATTGGCATTAGCAAAGAACATAGATGGGGGCAAACTTAATTGCTAAACTTATGTATGTATTGTAAACATTGAATTGATTTGCATAGAAGTAAATAAAATTTATTAACTTTTGCTGCGAGATCAGCATAATTACTATTACGCATTACATAATGACTACAGAGAATATTATTGGAGTTCGGACAGGTCGTCCATGATCTCGACAGTGAATTCCGGTGAGCTGCACTCATCCGCCCTGACCTCGGGCCCGTGAGTGTGTGGGGCGCCAGCAATGCGGAGCGGCACATCGTTCACCTTGGATGTGACCAAAGTGGCGCGACAGCAATGTTTAACGTAGCGGGAGCAACGCCAGAAAACATTCTTCTGACTCTGACGATTCACGACAAATCGAAATCCATTATAGATGAGCATGATTCGCCCTCGTTGCGTAGTTGTATACTGTAGATTTGAGTTCGTCGTCTTATCATCGAAAAGCGCCTTGATGGACTGCATCACACCTAAAATATACATAAAGAGAAGAGAAACAACAATGAATCGTTAAGATGCTGACCTCGGTTGGCAGACAGATTAATCACATAACATTTAACACTACAAGGGACAAAGAGGATATATTCACAAATTTGTCTACATCTTTTTTTTATTTCAGTTAACAAACTCAACATACAATTTGGCACTTTGGTTTATTATGCTACTGCCTAACTACTGCTGCTGCTGCTGCTGGTGCTGCTGCTTGTGGTGCTGATGCTGCCCATGTTGGCTTTGATGGTGGCCAGTTTGTGATCGATGAACTCCTGAACTGTTGCTTCCTGCAGCTTGTCACCGCATATGGCAAATACCTGGCAAACATGGACTGCAAGGAGTGAGAAATCTTTGGTTGGAATCGTATGCCTGTATGGCTGTATAAATGCCTAATATATACTTATGATTGCCTGGAATTTCTCCTTGTCCGGCTCAGACTCGCCCAGTGCAATGCGTTTCAGCTGCTCCTTGCCAATGACCAAATCGGCGACTCGCGATGTATAAATCGGCGGAATTGGTACAAATGCCTTGGCCAAATCTGCCTTGGACACAAACACATTGCTGCCGGCAAATAGAGGAATCGATGCATTCTTTGGCTCATTGGACTTTGCATCTATTTCTGCTTCCTTTTGGTTTTCTTTGTCAGCCGTTGTCTTTGGGGCGGCTATAAAAAGTAGAAAATTGTATTATTAACTGTCAATATATTGATTAGATTTCTAATTATGAACTATAAGGTAAACGAAAAGAAACACAGTGAATCATTTTTGTTTTTATTAGTTTATTGTACATAGTATTTTGATAGTATTTGAAAATTAGATCCTACATTTACAATGCGAACACGGCGTGGCAGATGCTCCGCGTACATAAAGCGGCGTCGGTTTAGCATTTTGGCAGCACTCATTGAGCAACTACAACACTCGCAATATTGAACACACATTTTCAATACTTTAATATTACTTCAATTCACAATGAACACATTTTACTAATGGGTAAATATGAAAATTAAAAATTGGCAGAAATTGTCAGAGGGACGCACGCAAGCACACAATAAATGCCATCATTCAGAGTTGCATTCGACAGCAATCGTCTGCTGGTAATCGCAGTCATCTGGCAACGCCAAAAGTCGCCGGAGTTGAAAAAAAAAGAATTTGTGCCATTTGTGTAAGAATTTATTATTAATTTGATTAACTAAAGCTATTGAATTTGTTAAACGAGTACGAATAAAGTGCCTGTGAAACTTGTTAAAGTCCAGCAGAGCATTTGTGGCTCGCTTTTAAGCCGGCGTTAATTGTTGTGCGACAAGTTGTAATATTTATGTTGAGACATATGTAAATTTTATTTGTGTTTGTAAAATAAACCAAAAAGTTTGTGTACAAATTGTGGCATCGCATCTGTGTTATCGTTGTAATCTTGCAACATTTGTGCTGCATGCATTAGGCGGGTTGCATTGTTGCTGCAGCTAAGTTTGCCTAATCAATAATTTCACCAAAGACAATTGTGATTGACTTTGATTGCAGTTTTCACAAATTTTGCCCAACAATCATAAATCATAAATCGTAAAACTGCCGATTTCATAGATGTGAATTATATCTTTTTAAGCACTCTTTTGCATCTTAAAAGTATTGCAGCCTACAGATGTGCGTACACATGCATTGTATTTCAGCGCGTTAGGTAAATATGTATTCTTTATCAACATGTTGTCTACACACAAAGTGGGGCTGTCTGTTTGACCCCATCTGCAAATCGCAACAAGTTCGGTGTGTAAAAACTGTTCAAGTATTGTTTAAGCCAAATCTAGTTAAATGTTTAACTGAATGTGTTAAAGGCTTAGTAATAATCTATAATCTGCCAAAACATCATCTAACGATAACATCTTTAGCGTCTAAGATTCATAGCTTGTAAGACAACAACTATGAAAACATAAATAAATAAAAAATGTATATAGTAAGAGTTTATTTAGTATATTTATATCGTCAGTATATATATTATGGAAACAATAAAAAATTAAATTAAATTGAATGCAATTGATGTTGTTGTGTAGCGAGAATTTCAATCATTTTTGTAAGTGTTGGTTGTACGTATGTAAAAAAAAATATATTTCTTTTCTTGCAGCACTGCTTAGCGATTTTAAGATCCATTTGCCGCTGCTGACGCGAAAGTCAGCGAAAAAGGAAAGTTTCGATCATCTCGATGTGTGCTTCACGCGCAGCAACCGGGGCAACAATCTGCTAACGATCAATGGCAAACCGTTCACATTGAATCGACGCATCAAGGATGCCTGCTACTGGGAGTGCGTCAAGCTGCGCTGCAAGTATATTAAGTGTACGGCTCGGGTGGTCACCAAATCGAATCAGATCTCTGCCCTGCGTGGCCAACACAATCATCCCTAAGAGATGACCACAAAAAGCATTACAATTTTGACTCGAATAAATATTAAGTTGTAGCTGCAAATATCACACATGTATCTTATGTTCTTCTCTTTACCGATTCTTAAGTGTCTCGTTATTTTTTTGCTTTCTTTTTTCTGCAACTAATTACTTGTACTCTTTGCAGATGGAGACGTTTGGCTGCAGCGCAGCTATAGTATGGTGGCCAATCGTCGTGGCGGTCAGAATCTCCTGTACAGTGGTCACATGTACACCGCTGAGCGTAAAAATCTCACCACTATCAACTGGGTGTGCACCAAGAACAGCAATCGGCAGCTGCGTTGTCCGGCACGCTGTGTGACCACCGGCAATCGGAGCATCAAACTGAGCCGACGCGCCCACAATCATGCCAGCAATCTTTTCAGCATGCACAAGCTGAACGCCCGGCGTCAGCGTCGACGCAGATGCAGCCCGTAATACGCATTAGCTGTTCATATATATATAAATATATACATGCATATGTCTTGTAGTATATGTTGTAGTTAATAAGTCGTTTCATCTAGCTGTAACTAACCCGCTCATTCGCTTAACTAATTCATCATGTATAATCTGTTCTTATTTTGTTGCATGCAGCGGCAAGTCGCCGGCATCGTCGTGCTTATAGAGGCCGCACCGGCTGTCTGCTTATCGATGGCTTTCGCTTTGTGATTAGCTACCAGCAGCGGCAACGCTGCTATCTAAAGTGCTCTAGCTTTCGGAGCAACTGTCGCGCCCGCGCCATACAGAACAAGGTGACGGGACAGCTGCAGTTGCGCAATGGAACACACAATCACAGTCGAGCGCAGCAGCAGTTGGCAGCGCAGCATTACTCTAAAAATTGAGCAAGTACACAAGTCAACCGCACACACACCGTACACACACATCGACACATCCACGCATCCACACACACACACCACCACATACAGACTCCCATATATGTATAATAAACAGTATTTGTAATGCAAATGATGTCGCCTGCTTTTCACTAATCTCTCATCATAATCCACATTTAACCAGTTACCTAAATAACCAATTATCAATTAATATTATTTTATTGTCATCTTTTAGCTGATTCGGTCCAGACGCATTCGATTCTAGCGCAATATGTGCGCTCCAATCGTGGCACCGATCTCGTCTACTACGAGGGCAACACATACACGCCCAACGAGAAGCTGCGCGAGGGCCAGAAGTCACGGGACTGGAAATGCTCCATGTACCACAAGGCCAAGTGTCGCGCCCGGCTCGTGACGCGTCTCACTAACGATGGTGATCTGATCCATGTCACGAGCTGGCAACACACGCATGCCTCAATGTTCATGTTGCAGCAGCCGGAGGGCACAGATGCGGATAGGCTGTGCTTGGCTCCAAATCCACTGTGCACCAGCATACGCCAGATTAAAATGGAGCTGCTCAAACAATAAGCACAACTCTAAACAAAATAAGCTAAAGTTTTTTTTTCTCTGTGCAAATAAAACTTGATCAATGTGCAGCGTTGATTTATTTTGTAAATTTAAATTTTTTTTTTTGGCAGGCACAACTGGCCCTTTCTGAGAACCATCACTAATGTATTTCCTTTCTTTTCAATTTGCAGTTATTACACGCTATCTGCCCGTTGATTCGGTGGTCAATGCACAAGGCAACAGTTCCCTGGTCAAGTGCCCAAAGTTGCGCTTCATTCGCGGACAGCGGAATTCGGTGCAACTGGTCTATGATCAGTATGCCTATGCCAAGAACAATAAGCATCGTGCAACCACCTATTGGAATTGTCGCATTCGACGCACTGGAGTGGCGTGCAATGCCCGACTCTCCACCACAAAGCTGCCGAACGGCAACTACAAGGTGTGCCTCACACGCACGGAACACAATCATGCCCCATCCAAGCGCATCTCGCACATGTTGAATCAACTATCCTGATTTTAGGTTTTAGTTTTTAAGCAAACAAATATATTGGGCACTTAAAGTGCACAGCATTAAAATGACTTTCTGATCTTTAGTGGTTAATCGCTTGCCCCTAAACTGTATTAATTAAGCATCTTTACTAATTGAATTTCTCTTTATATATGTATATGTATGTGTGTATTTAGAAAGCAGCATTGCGATTTACTCGGCCACATCGCGGGGTCGCATGCAGCTCATCTATGGCGGGCAGCCCTTCATTTTTGAGAAGACACTGAAGCTATCGACGGGGGAGGAGAAGCGCTACTGGCGCTGCAATCAGTGGTGGAATCAGAAGTGTCGCTCGCGTGTCTTCACCATCAACGACATTGTCTGTCCACTGAATCGCTTCCACACGCACGAGGAGATCGTGCGACGCAAGAAGCGAGTACGTCGCGTCCCGCCGCCGGAAGCCACCATCAGCATTGTAACGACTGCCAAAATTGTGGAGCAGGCAACGGCGCAACACAATCAACAGCAGCAGGACCAACACCAACAACAATTGCCCAGCGATGCAATACTTACCACCACGTTGGCGGATGAGTCTGCCGCCACCATCGATGTCAACGAGCTGGGCATGCATTTAAAGTACGAGGAGATTGTGGCCGATGTGACCGGCATGGTGGGAGCCACAGCGACCCACTCGACCCATGCACAGCCTCGAATACTTGGTCGCAAGAAGTGAAGGTCCTGGTGGATGGGTATATACGTAGTTTTTAACTTTCTTAATGTCTAACAAATAATAATACATTCAGCTTACATAGTATACACAACATATAAACACAACTATTCAAGTACGCAACTTAAATAAACCTAATTTAGGCTTCAACAGCTCAAACAATTTGATTTACTGCACCGGCAATAAGATCCACTTGGAGTCGCGATCCCCATAAAAGTTTTTGGCACCTGGCACCTACTAACCAATTGGTTCCCCTTTTGCATTCCCATTGCAGATGCGCTGTTCTTCTTCACCAAGGGCCAACGGAAATCGATAAAACTGAATTATGGCGGCCACAGCTTTGTGAAATTCATGGAGAATAGTCGCGGCATTAAGTGGATCTGTGCCACACGCTCAACAACCAGATGCCGGGCACGTGTGCGCACCAAGGATAATTCGCTGGAGGTGCTCCATGGACCGCATAATCACCAGAAGACGTGTCACGAACGTGAACGTGCCAAACAGCGACGACTAACACATTTAAATTGAGCTCTTCAAAATTCCAACTCTTAATATAATGCTTAATACGTACTTTATTCTTGATTTGAAAATAGTAGAAAAAATTTCTTGGATACGCCACAGCAGTGATTACAATATAAGAAAATATACAAATCTTCAACACTTCTGTCCAAATGGGATAACTTAGTCCGGTACTAATGCAGCTCCTCGAAGCAGGGCTCGCACATCCAATTGCTGCCGGGACAAGTGTCGCAGCAGGTGGTGAGCCGCTCCAGATTGGTTTTACCCTTCTTCAGGCAAGTCACGCACTTGCCCTTCATGCGCGGCACGCCCACAAACACGAAATTATGATGATTCGCCGACGTACGCAGAATATTCTCCGGATTGCTCAGATTCAGCTTGGCGCGCACAGGTTTAATTTGAGAGACGGCAGCCACGGCATCCGAGTTGAGCATCAGTTTTGTGGGTGTAAAAGTGCGACGTTTCGCAACTGCATCCGGGGACAGCTGTTTGATCGATGTCCTAGATATGGGAACGCGTTGTGGAGTACGGCGCAGAATCGAGGATGTGCCTGCATTCAGATTGCGTGTTTTATGAATATACGTGAAGGCTGGAAGAGAATAGTAGATGAGTATATATAGAGAATATCGGGCATATTTAGAAATGTCATTAATCAAAGTTAAACATTTGGAGAATGGAATAGTTTTGTCGATTCTTTATTTAATGCCGAAACGTTGAATTAAAGCTGCTATTAATGTTGTGGAGCTAAGTATAATCCCTAGTCATCAGTTGCCGATCTCAATTTAGCGTACAGATAGCTGTAAGGAGATAGATAAAAATATAGTTAATATATCAGCACGATGACTCAAAGCTAATTACAATTATTATGATAACTAAAAGTCCATTTTATAATATTGAACAGACGTTTTACTGCTCAATGTTGCCATAAATCCGGGGCACAAATGTTTTAAGCGGCTTGGGCGCGTCATGATTGTGGTCGCCACGTTGCGCCACTATCGCCTTTTTCTTGGTGGTCAAAGCGGCGGAGCAACGTAATTTCTTGTACAAGGTGCAGCGCCAGAAAGCCACACAGCGGGGCACATTCCTCGAGTGGCAACTGTACGTGTGTCCCTGATGCACCAGCTGGCCGCGATAATTGTAGTTGAGAACTGCGAAAGAAAGGGATATGAGTGGATTGTAATATAAAATACATATTTTATAACTTACAATTTAGACATAGGTTCCAGTTTCAAATTTACAAAAATAATTCTCTAAATATAATCAAATCTATGAATTAATTTCAAAGTGAATGCAATGAAGATGATTGCAACTTTTACTTTGAGAACAATCACTATTTATATTTTAGGAGCTAATTGACGGCTGGATAACTTAGTTTTTGCCTTTATTCGACTTGATTTACTTAGAACCTAAATTGCACTGTCACAAAAAAGAGAATGCCAGGTCCGAGAACCTGCTCTAATCTAATCATGTATGAGCATCAGCGAGGTGTGCATCAGCTCGTGTTCCGTTAGCTGCAGAGTCGCCCCATCGGAAAGTATATGATGCTGATGGTGTTGCGGTTGCACAAACACCTGATGCTCCTCGACCTCCTGCTTGGGTTGCTCCTGCTGAAAATGGGTAATACTATGGACTCGTCCGAGCTTGGTGCGACCCGTGCTGACAGCAGCCAGACGATTGCGCTGAATGATTTTCTCAATCTTTTCCGTATGTGGCGGATGATTGTGTAGTCCACCGGTTATACCCTTTAGCTTGCCATTCTCCAGGACGCAACGCGACCGACAGCGCTGCTCGTGCACTTTCTTGGAGTAGTTGTGGCAGCGCCAGTACTCCTTGTTATTCTTCCGACTGTGACAGTTGTACATGTAGCCATTTAGCACCAGACACGGCGTCGACCAGGGACTCTCAATGAACACTAGATCGCTGTCATCTGTGGGTTAGAATTGTAATTGGGATTAGTGAGGAATGTGTACCATTTATAAGTGGCCTAGTATACGACAGATAACTTAATAGAAATGTGACTAGTTATATTGTTGTAGGTTGGTTTTATTAATTACGGTTAGACATTGAATACAAGTAAAAAAAGTAAAATGTTTCAATTGAAGACTGATGAACTGCTTAGTCAACGATTAGATTAGATTATTAGATGTCGTCTAAGAAGCATCTAATGCAGCTTGACTTTGTTCGGAAAGCGAAGAATTGGCTTCAGCTCCACAACCTGATCGATGAGACCCTCATCCGAGGCATCGACCAGTGCCTGCATTTCGATTTCGGTTGCCTCCGAGGCTGGCACATACAGCTTGCACTCTTTGCCATCCTTGGCGGTCATGATGCTGATGTTGCTGCTGTTAAGGTATTGAGATATCTTTGGGTTTGATGTGCTTATCTCGATGTACTCATCGAGCTCCTCCTCCACATTGTAGAGCTGGCGTTCGCCAATGCGACTGTCATGCGACTCATGATTGTGCTGACGACGTGAGTCCAGAAACTCGCCATTCTTGGTGATTACCACCGCCTTGCAGCGCAGCTTTAGCACATCCGCACAGCGCCAAGTCGTCTGGCCGTTGGCCTGCGTCAGTTTCTTGTTGTAGATGCATCCCTTGTAGACTAGCTGGGCATTCTTCTTCTGGCTGCGTATAAACTTAATGATTCCCGATGCTGCGTTGGACAACACATAAATATAACAGACGGTGGGGGGTGATAAAAGAATGGAGAAGAAAGTGAGTAAAAGTCTGCCTAGATTTAGCGAGCGAACAAACTACTTATAATTATATATTGACTTAGGCTGAGTGAAATAAAACAACGCACATTAAACATTGGCTTTTAACATTTTATTGACAAATAGAAACAGACACAAACAACAAAAAGAGACTCGACAACTACTTACATACACATCTTCACATCGATCTACAAATTTTATTGTGTATGTACACATTTCTACAAACGCTTCCACTAACTCATGGTAATTAACTGCACTAACTGCACGCCTAGAAAATTACAAAACAAGTTATTAGTTCTCACAAAAAAATATATAAATTTCCATCACACAGCTTAGCACAGAACACACAATAAACACAAACTGCTTCAATATGTATAACAAATAAAACACTTTGGGGATCAATTTGGCGTCACTTAAATCACTTCACAGTCATTTTTTCACTAAATTATTTATTTTTATCAGCAGTGCACCAATCAATTCGTGTGTAAATGTAAAATAAACATACTAACAAAAAATATATATGTAGCTTATCTCAACCCTTACACGACAGAGTTGCCACCTTGTGCAATCACAGGGTTGCATTTACGCATTCTGAAAATCGACTATACGGCAGCGCTGTACAGAAATTAAATGAAAATGAACGCAATATGGAACATCAACTTTATTGAAATCATCCATTAGCCAGTACTTAAGACGATATAAACGCACCTGTGTATTCGTAATGACATTAAGCAGACAACGCATTGCATGTGCGTAGCGGTGAAATTTAGCATAATTTGCTACAATTACAACTAGTTCGTTTTATAGAAGCCTAGCAACACATTCGTCCCAAGTATTCATAATCAGCCAATTGTCATAGACATGCACTACCGAGTAACTTTCGCCTTAGTACTGCTTTGCGATTAATCTACAGAATATTTGATGCATGCTCATTGCAACTATCGAGCTGCAACTGACACCATGTGGCATGAATAGCTGTCGCACCAAAACTCTGTATATGAAATCCGTACAACACAAACACACTTCAATAACGAAAGATTCGGCAATTAATGCCGTTATTAGATCTCTCTGGCAGCAAGCTTTTATGTTGCCCCAGACGGATCTGACAACATCTTAACGCATAACGAACAAATAGAAAACAAAACCACAAGTTGCACCAGTATGGGGTTTAGCAATTTCCGTCTAGGTGGCAACGTCACTCCAATTGTTATACACAAACAATGGCAATAAATGCCGAAGATACTTTTCCAGACCTAAATTACATTCTGAAAATGTTAAATGAAATGCAACGCTACAAAATATTAAATTATTACTTCCATTATCAGAGTACCTTCAATTTAAAGATCCAACGATGAGCTTCAGTTAATTCTTCAGGGCTGCTGCTCCAGCGGTCTTTCACGAGTTTTCTCCAAGCTCCTTCCGCAGTTCCATCAAGCGAAATTTTCATGTTGAACACTCTACTTACCACAATTTTTGACATTAAAAAATATACGCGTAAATAATTCACGGGAGCAGCCGCCTCAGCAAATTTGGAATTTGCTTTTTGGTCAGCCCGCTCCTCAGCCAAATACTCTTTTGCGAATCGAGAATAGAGCAAAGGCTTTTAAAAGTTGTACTTATTTAAACTAAAATGGCTGATAAAGCAGCTCTTAAATGTGCATTGCAATTACGGGTATTTGAAAATTTAAGCGATATATGGATATCGCAGCGATAATGAATGAAGCAACAGCAGATTTAAGCGCTCTTTACAACCAACAAGTGAAGGACTTTCGTCGAATTGCGAACTGCGCACAACTTGGCAACCGATTTGACTTGAGGGAATTTGTTAACAATTTGAAAAATGATCTATTTTGGTTGACCCCGTGTGCGAAATTCGCAGTCGACTGCCCATTTTCTTAAGATGAACTAATCCTAACCGATCCATTGGACACGTGACACGTATCTCGGTTCTCAACGGATCAGAACAAAAGTAAAGTGGAACCAACCTTGAGCCTCTGTGCTGCCTTGATCCCCGCCGGTGTCGACAAACGATGAATCGTTGTAGCTCTGCGGCTGCGACTGTTGTTTGACCACCGCCTTCGATGTGGTGGCTGCAACGCTGGCGCTTGTATTTGTTGCTGGCTGAGCACCGGCGTCTTCATTTTCGGTAAAGTAGCTTTCATCATAGCGTATCTCGCCATAGGCATCATCCTCGACATAGGACGTATCGCCATCGCCGGCAACATCGGCGTGCTCTTCGCTGTAGTCTGGTTCCGATTTCGTTGGCATACCCATGGGGAGATCAATGTATTCAGCTTCCTCTTGTGCAGCCTGCTGCTGACGCACCTGTTGCACTTTCGTGTCGCTGCTCTGCACCACAGTCGTCTGCACGGTTATCTGTTGTGGCACATGTTGTTGTTGCTGTTGTTGAGTAGATGTTGCCGTTGTTGTTCCAGTTTCCGTTGTCGATTCGAGGGGGTCAATTACGTTGCTGGCGTTGGCGGCGCTCGCTGATGTTGTCTTTGAGCGCTTGACGGCACCACTGCTACTCTGGCTGCCACGTTGAGCGCTACGCTTGTTTGTCGACACCAGCGTGGCGGTTGTTGTTGTCGCCGTTTGCAACTGCTGCTGTTGTGTTTGTATATGTTGCTGCTGCTGTTGTACGATGGTCGCTTGTGGCGAGGCTGATGTCTGTATGACAATTTGTGTGGTGCCCTTATCATCGAGACCATCGTCAACGGTTTCAATCTTGTAGCGAGCGGTTGCACGCGGCTGCTGTTGGCGCTGTACACGTTGGGCTGGGAGTTGTTGCTGCTGTTGTTGTTGTTGTTGTACCTGTGGTGCTGCTGGTGGGGGTGGGGGTGTGGGCTCTTGTGGCGGCTGTGGTGGTGGATCATTCTGTAGGAAATTGCAATGTTAATTTTAAGTTGCCAACGTCGTCTTTAAAAACACAAAAACAACCACCAGAATGCGCGCGCATTACAAACGTCTGGCTGAAGCGAGACAAATATATATGTAGCACACATAGCATGACATCTCTTTCGCACGCACACTGCTTGTGGTGGCGTGCGTTGTTTCGAGACTCTTCGCTTGGGGTACAGTCAAACCAGCTCTTATACACACTAATTTCGCCGCTGTGTTTGCATGTGTGTGTGCTTGATGCGTGTATGTATTGCGCGCGAAATGCGCTTGGCGTTTGTATTTGTGTTCGTTCTCTTTTTGTCTCTATTCTACTCACATCTGTCAGCCCCTTGATTTGTAGCGACTCCGCTGTGCTTATGAAAGCTGGTAATGCGTCCTGTTTGACGTTCACCTCGCCACAATACATGAACTGGATCAGGTCCTTCAGTGCCGAATGGCTAACGTTATTTAAAAACACTGCAAATAAAAAAGTAGTATTAATTTTTTCTCTGCTTCTGTAGTTTTTCCCTTTTTTTTTTTGTTGTACATACCAAAGGCGTGGGTATTCGTTGGCATCTGCGTAAACATTTTGCGGAAGAAGGGCGAGCAGACCGAGAGCACCAAGCGATGCGCCTTCACAATCTGGCCCTCCGCTGCCAGGGATACGTCTACCAGGTCTCCACGACATAGTGACTCGTGAAAGCCAGCGGACAGATTTGTGTTGAAATTGTTCCAACACAAACTGAATTGCTCGTCGTCCGCCATCTTGGACGAGCGTACAAATCAATAGAATTTTCTGTATCTAGCCTGTGCTTGTGTGTGCGCTGCGGAAAAGAATGAAGAAACATTCAAATTGCAGAAAATCAGCTTAATTTGTTTCACGACAATGCATTCAAACTAAATGTGGACATTTATTTGTTTACAAATGTCAAGACACATCAAAAATGCAAACGAATACAAAAATGAAAAAAAAAAAAGAAAAAAAACTGGGAAATTTTCACGCGTGCCAGCAATCTAAAATGTTGCATATTTTGGTGACTTAATTTTAACAATAGGTCATAAATGTATAAACTTACCTCTGTAGATGTATTTTTATTTTAAAATACTTATTTAATGCACAAATTAAAAATAATTACTTTTCTGCGCTTACGCTGCGCAGATTGCGTCCAACTTTTCCAACGAGTAAGACGAAATAAATGTATACTAGCTAGGGATGAACGATGATTTTATACTGGGTGGTGGGTATGTTATCGATTTATCGATATGCGTTAAATAGCAACATGCAACGATGGTACGATATTGTTCATTACACCAACACTGTATTTTGGTTTGAGCAGCAGCAGTATTGGAAAACAATCAAATATATTTAAAAAATTTGAGTAACCAACCGACAACAGTTAAATACTGAATTTATAAATAAATTTGATATTCATAAATGAGTTTATGTAAATTACAGCCAGCATAAATCTTGATTTTAAGGTTGCTTAAACTATTATATATATTTAATTTTGTATGTAATTTTTCATGTATCTAAAATAACTTTTGTAAATTTCAAAATTGCACAGTTGTATTTCTGTTTGAGAGTAAATGAGATTAAATTGTTTAAATTAATACAAATAGAAATATTGAGATACAAAGTTCCCGTAAACATAAGAGATTCTCTGAAAGTTATGTTTTATTTTAAATAGTATTAAATATGGATATTTTTGTTATTCAAATTTGCTTATAAGTTTAAAACTATTAAATGAATTGAGTGCGTTCATTGATACATTTGAAATGTTTGTTGATTTAAGCTATAAACTAGCCTACACGGTCCAATTTCTATTCAAAAATTGAGCGAGTCATCAGAGTACACTCTTGTAAACTTTTGCTTGAAATTTGTTTACTGAGTGCCACATCAGTGCTAAGTGTGCGAAAATCTGCACTTGAGCCCCACTTGAAAAACGGATCAGAGCTGTAAAAAAATCAAAAACGCCAATTAGCCGGCACGATTATGTGGTAGACAACAACTTAAGGACCTTGCAGTAATAAATATTTCCCATAAACACACGTACTTAAGCTCAAGCAGCGAAATTAAATCTGCATAAAGTGGCTGCGAACAAACAACAGCAACAAAAGCAACAACAGAAAAGACAAATGTACACATACAAATGCGAAGCGGAATTGCTTGTGACTGTGCTGTGCTGTGATTGGCTATTCGTCAGCCATTTTCTTCGCATTCAGCTGTATGCATGCATGTGTGTGTGTGTGTTGGTTGTTCTGGCCGCAGTCGGAAAAGATTGCTTGTTCATTCAGTACGAAAAACGCGCTGACAAATTGAGGACACGCTCGAGTGCGCAGCGGAACGGCGCATCGTTTTTTTGAGGTCCGAGCTAAGTTAGTTCTATACGGTTGCACAAGGGGTGCACCACAGCCACAATCCCCCTCGAAACACCCCCTTGAAATACAACACACCAAGCACCTATACATAATCGTTTGTCGCAGTCAAGTGTCGCTCGTCTCGTTGCTCAAGTGTATATTGGCAAATTGTTGTATTTATTTTAATTTAAAGTGCCAACCCATCAAGTGATTCAAGTGATTTCCAATTGTGGCCAAAGTCAAACAACAACAACAAACAATGTTGCAACATCATCAACACCAGACACAATCCGCTGGCTACTATGACTACAATCAGGCGCCTCAGAGCCCCAGCAGCCTGACCAATGCGGATGCTCTCAATACAACACCATTCTCCGTTAAGGATATACTCAACATGGTCAATCAAACGGAGGCTTACGAAGGTGCCTATGGCCATCTGGAAAGGTAAGATCATACAAACTTAAATTATGCAAATCAAATTTAATAGGTGTAAGCCCATAAATGGATATAGTTAAGTCTGCAAGGAAGATTAAAGAGCTCAAAGAGTACAACTTATGATATGTAAACTTATAAATGGATCTAGTTGCTAATATAATAAGGGAGAAAAACAGTTTAGGATTTCAGTTTAGAATAATATGCAGAATGATTGGTTTTATTTTGGCTTCCTTGAAAATTGTAGTAGTAGTAGTCCAAATAAAAACAAACCAATTTTTAATTGTTTTATAGAAAAATACTATATACTAAAATGAAAATGATTGGCAAAATTGAATTAAATATGAAACCAAAACTTTTATGTTTTCAATTGTACGTAGTTCATCTTCTATTAAATATTGTTCTAAATGAATTCAATCTTCAGCACTTTCTTAACAACATTACTCGCTTCTTTTCATATAGTCTATGCATATGCATATGTATATAAATACGTATATTTATTACTATGTATATTTGTAACTACCTGTCTAAAGCAATCTTTGTTAGACGCACATCTTCGTGGTAGACAGAAATGAGGTGCATCTTTTTTTTTATTTATTTATAATAGGGCTCCATAGGAAATTAATTTCTACCAATTTTCTACAAAAGAATAATATTTTTCTAACCTTCTGCAAAGAGTGTGAGGGAGATAGAGCCAGAGGTAAGCAGAAGAAATCCTATCAAAACACATGAGCAGCATGAATTGCAAATAGGACTAAAGGACAAATCATCGTTATTTATACAAGAGGCAAAGACAAAGACAAAGGCAAAGGCAAAGACACAAGATGCAGACACAAAGTGTTAACAATAAGAAAAACAAAGTCAGAATCGGAATCGGAATCGGAGATGAGTTTGTGGTCGGCCAGGCAGTTGGTCAGTCAGGCAGGCAGGCAGGCAGGCGGCGCCGAGCTTGGGCCTGGTCAACATGTGTGATTCGCATGTGTGTGTCCTTTTCTTTTTGTCCTTTCTACTTTTTGGACATGCGCAGGGCCTCGCTGAGGGGCGTCGTTAATTGTGATGAGGCATGAAATGATGTCACCAAGGGTGCACCGGACAGCAGGAAGTTGCCATTTGCTGCTGCCCGCCATTTCCAAGCTCTCTTGCTGAGTGATGCAACATGTGCTATCCAGGCCAAAAAAAAAAACAAATAGAAAGGAAATCAAAATTAACTGTGAACGTTATTCTGCTTTTCGCAGCGCTGCGGCAGCCTCGGCGCTCTATGGCGCCGGCGAGTACCAGCATCATCAACTACAGCAGCAGCAACAGCAGCAGCAACAGCAGCAGCAGCAACAGCAGCAACAACAACAGCAGCAGCAACATCTTTCACAACATCAACTGCAACAGCAACATCAACAACAACAACAGCAGCAGCAGCACCAGCAACAGTTGCAGCATCATCTTGTTGAGCAGGAGGAGGATGCTTTGGCTACGTCATCCTTGTCGCCGCTGCTGCCACCGCCACATGGTCATCACCATCAGTTGTATGCCAGCTATCACCAGGACTACGGCATGCCCACACACATGCTCCAGCATCCGCATACACATCCGCATCCGCATCCACATCCCCATCAGAGCTATCAGACGGCATATGCGAATGTAGCCGCGTCGCCGTTCTATGCCGGACCCACAGCTGGTGCCTATCAGAGCCCCGCCGGCTACAATTACAATTACAGTGGTTCGGGGGATGTCTATGCCAGCAGCTCCTCCTCCATTATTGCCACAGTTCCGTCCGCCGCTGTTGCCATCAAGAGCGAATATATACCCACCCCGTATGTCACGCCGTCGCCCACCCTCGATCTGAATAGCTCCGCGGAGGTGGAGGTGCATGCCCCAACGCATAAGCTGAACGCCAATGGCATCGCGCAGCGGTTGCACGAACCGAGGGGTCTCAACGGAGCTGGGGAGTGCGCCAAAAGAAGTGAGTAACAACAATGAGCTTATCTGAAATACTTAAGCGATGTAACAATTTCCTTAAATCCAGTATAAAATCAAGTAAACGTTTTTTTCAAGCCCAGAACTTTTTTCTACTCTAAAAAAGAAATCCAATAAATTCAAAATTCGAATATTGAATTAGATTTGCTTAATTGTTAATTTAATATTTCAGTTTTGAAAATGGCGATTTGAAATTTACCTAAACCCAGTAAAAACTACCAGATTTATATAAGTGACTCGGCTTCCATAAATCAGATTATTTATCAAGAGATTTGCAATGCGGTCGTTTCGAAAATCTTTTCAAGACATTTGTTATTCAGTTGTCTCCAAGATCTTATCGAATTCAAAAACTTAGAATCAATTTTTGATTTTTGACTAGGTTATATTTTTTAAATTCATCGCTTTACTTTGTTGATAAAAAATCTTAATACTCTCATCAAAAATACTTTTTTCCATTTATTTTTTTTACAATTATTTGTTAATATCGAGTTTTTCGGAAAACTCTTAAAATATAATTTCTTAAAGCCCTCTTTCTGTATTCGATCGTTACTCATTCGCAATTCCCCCTTTTGCAGAGGAGAGCCATGTGACGTCATCCCGCTCCGAGTTGCGCAAAAACAGCAGTGGAAACAGCAGCGGGAACAACAACAACAACAATAATAATCATAATAATAACAATAATAATGTGTCTGGTAAACCGCGAATGAAACGCAAGCCACGTGTTCTGTTTTCGCAGGCACAGGTCCTTGAGCTGGAGTGCCGCTTTCGCCTGAAAAAGTATCTGACTGGTGCGGAGCGTGAGATTATTGCCCAGAAGCTGAATCTGTCGGCTACACAGGTGAAGATCTGGTTCCAGAATCGACGCTACAAATCCAAGCGTGGCGACATTGATGGCGAGGGCTACGTGAAGCATCTGAAGATGAAGCCGGAACCGTTGCAGTCGCCAACTTCAGCCTCGTCGCTGCCACCGCCGCTGCCCAACCACATGATGTGGCCACCAACTGCGCAGCAGACGCAGCAGCTGCAGCTGCAGTAGCCGGGAGCAGTTATTTAAATTCTAACTTATTACAATCTACGCAGATCTGATGTTTTAGCTAACGAAAATGCCTCATAACTCTAGTACCTTCTTGTTGTATATATATATATTTCTATTGGACAATAAATAAAGTTTAAGCTATAAATTGCAAGGTGAAACCTTCTTGAGTAGTTCGGGATTTGGGATTTCTCTTAAGGCATAACAGATTAATGGTGGATAGCAAAAAATATAGTCTAATATTTCTTATAGAAACCTTACTTGCTTCAAAGCTTCAAAGTCTCTTTACGGATTCATAGGTCTTCTTATCTAGCAACTTTCAACTTCTAATTCAATATATCAATTACAGGGTATGGTTGGTATTAACTTTTGAGTTTTTGGAAATATTAAGGATTAAAACATCGCATGGTTCTTGTGGTATTAATCTTGTAGTTGAATTTCTTAAGTGCCTCTACTTAGTTGTTCGAAATTTTTTATTTATAAAATAATCACATGGTTCTTCCTGTTGAAGTATTTATCATTTTGATCTTTCAATACGATTTTAAGAGATCTATTTCAGTATGTCCATTCAGTAGTTAGATATTGGCTGGGTAAATATCCTAGTCATCGATATCTAACACCAAATTTCAATTGCGAGAATAACATATTACACAACTCAAGGATAATATGGATAAGTTTTTGTTTATTTCCTTTTTGAAATCTAAAAATTGTCTTCAAAAGCATAGCATTTAGATTTCAAGAGATATATTTCAGTAGTTGGAAAAACGATACTATTACTCAATCGCAAGATCCACACATTATACGATCCAAAGGATCACGCAGATTTTAATTTTTAGCCACTTTTTTTTTGTTTTCCACTTTGTTTAAATTTCCGAGGATCAGTTGATCCCTCCTTGCCATTGCCTCAACTGAGTGTTTCGATATTTCATTCACTTTAATTTTGATATGGCTTATTAACAGTACATGTACATATATATATATATATAGATATATATTTTTCAGCCTAGTCTGCTTGTGTGCCGCGTTTGCCGAGTATCTGCCACCGATCCATTAGGCACCGCATCTGCGTATAATTGTTGTCGATCGCCGCATAAATCAATTTTATCAAAACGAAACGATCAGTTTTATGAATAAATGAAGAAAACACAACAATTTCCGTTTTTATTCTTGAAACGAAATGTTTTCCTTTTCGCTTTTCGCATGGCAAAGGGGTGAAGCGGGGAATGAGGGATGAGGGACGGGAATGGGGATCGGATGGGGTTGTGGATCAGTAGCGTTTGGCGGCTTTGCAGGCCTTACAAAGGTTGCTTTTATGAAACGTTTAAGTGGCAGCAATGCAACTGTAAAATGTTTTCCAACAGCTACAGATACACATACAAACAGAGACATACACACAGCTAAAGAAACAGATACAGACACAGATACAGATACAGATACAAATGCAGGGCATCCGAACTCGACATTTATGACAGGCCGCCGCGCATTGGGCTAATATTTTATGTAGTGTGTGGGGGCAAAGTTGTTGTTGCTGTTGCTCTTGCCTCTTGGTGGTGCAGTGGTGGACTGGTGGCATATCAATTACTCCACAAACACATGCCACAGGCCCAGACCGCAACCGGAACGGGAACGAGAACGGAGTACGGGGCAAGTGCAGCTGATCACACTTTTTTTTTATTCACTTATGGTTGGCAGGGGGAGTCAACATTTTGAGTTGGAGCATTTTTGACAGACTGAACTTCTGGATTGGCGTTGGATTGGGTGAGCGAGTTGAGTTGCGTCTGGAGTGTTGTGGTGCGTTGTGTTGGGTTAAATGTCAATCAGGGGCAATCACGCGGGGTATTAGATAAAAGATTGCTGCTGTAAGAAAAACTCCAGTTAGACACTTGCAGTCGAATCTAACTGAATAAATGAATAACCACTGAAAAGAGTTGAAAAGAAACCTTTTGACATTGGTGAAATGTGAATATGTTCCAATCCAACTTAATAATAATAAGGCAATTAGTAAGAAGCAAATAAAAATGTTATTAAATAAATTATTCTAATTTTATGGCAACGGCACTCTCAAATTTAAGCATGTGTGGAAATATAATATGCCAATACTATATAAAATAGCGGATTTTATTGTTAAAACAAAATAAAGTTGATATGTGCGTGGTATATGAGAATATTATTTGTATTATTTGAGATACTCTTGTTCATTCAGATGGGCAGACAGATGAGAACGGCTTTTGATACTCATCAGAATACATATTCTTTATTCCGAGATGCTTTCCTTTGTCTGTTACATACTCTTGAACAACTGCATTATAGCCTTTTTATCCATTTTTAATGGGTCCGAGGTATAAAAGCTCTAAAATCGTAATTAATTATTCAAGCAGCAATACAATATTAATAATAGTTATAGTTTTTTAACGGTTGGAAACAAGTTGTTTCGAAAATATAGACATATATGCTGCTTATGAATTACAAAATAAATATCTTAAAAAGTAGAAGGACTCAAATAGGCGTTGGCAGCACAGTGGCAAACAAAACGCCCCAAAGGACAATGGACATTGAGCGAAATGCATGTCAAGTGCCTTTAAACGTTGCCTAATGGACCACACTGACCCAAAAAAACAACAAACTAAAATCGGAAAAATGGGCTTTGGATCTGGCTGGCTCAACATTAAGGTTTCGTCTTACAATGTCGGCGGCAATATTGCGGCGACGTGTGCTGCATATAGTCTATGGTCTATGGTCTATGGTCTGTGGTCTTTGGTCTATAGTCTAGAGTCTAGACCGAACCGGGACTCGTTGCAGTTCAAGTGGAAAATTTGTCATTTTCCCATATATCACATCGGATCGACGACGACGGCGATAAGGCGAGTGATGCAAGGATCGTTGCATGGCTTGTAGCGCCATTTAATTCATGTTGCGTCAAAGGATCAAAGGCGCCACAAGCCGGCTGCTTGCAGCTGTGCTCCATCTCTTTCCCACACTCTCACTCTCTCTCTCTCTCTCTATCCTTGTCTCACTCGATATTTGTCGCTTTCTCTGCTTTCACCGCTCTCATTTGCATTTCCTCAATTAAAGACGTGACGCGAGAAGCCGCCAAAGAGAGAGTTAGGTAAGCAAAATTAAGATTTATTAACAACAATAAATAAACAATATGCAATGTGCAAGAACAACAACAACAACAAGAACCACAACAATAAACCAATAAACCAACAATTGTCAATTGGCGCAGTTTTTAATAGTTTTCCGATTTCCGCGCTTTTCTTCTTTTACCGCCCGCAAAGCGAGCATTGCGTAATTTTCATTTCTATTTCCATTCCATTTGCCGCCTTCTGCTTTCGCTGTCATTGCGAGTCTTTGTCTTTAATCCCAGCCAGCGCTGTCAAGTGGATACGCAGCCCCCTCCCCGCATATCACTCACCCTCTCCATATCCCTACCTCGAACTATCACTATCCCGCTCAGTTGGAATTAAAGCCTTTGACATTTTATCAAAAAAACAAAAGTAAAGAGCTGAAAAAAAAACAACAACACAAAACCCATTGAGTTTTCCCCTTTGTTGTTGTTCATTTCCATTTGATGTGGTCATAAAAATGGCGAGCTCATTTTACATAGTGTATATATTCATATATATGTGAATATATTTGTTTCTGTTTTATATCCATCAGTCTTTGACTTTGTGTGGCTTTTCAAGTGGAAAATTGTGACAATTATATTCAAATTAATTGAGTAATTGCATTCGAAACTGAACAAGTGTCGCTTAAAAGCATTTGATTTATGGTCTGTGGAAAATAGCACTCGAGTCTTACACAAATCCCTCGCAAGTTGAGGCATTGATTTTGCTTTGAGCTGATGAGTTTCACTTCCTTTCCGCTGGCAATATCCTAAATCACTTCGAGCACCTGTAAACAAAGTCAATTAGAAAACACAGATTACGAACCTTACATTGTTTTTGGGATTATGCATAAATACAAATAGCACATACTATTGCACATTAATTTCTTTCTACAAATACTATTAAAGAAATTTTTTATTTAATAATAATATTGTTTGGCAAATTTGCCAATTTATTGCCTTAATTATTAAGAGAACCTCCTTCGAACATGGCAGAAACTAGCAGAAAAAATAGATTTATATTCTATAAGCTATGTAAAAGTTCTACCGATCATAACAAGCTAAGAAAGTATTCTTGATCAGATGAAAAAAAATGTCCATGAGCGAAAGAAAAATAATAAAAGTAAGAAATGTGTCTACAATCGCTCTAAAAAGTTCTCAACAATATGAATATAATTGTTTTGAAATAGGTTTCTTGGAATATATTATAAATACCAAAAGAAAATTGTGAATGTCTTTAAATTGTGTACAATAAATAATCATATATTATATTTCTATTCCGTATTTATCTAAATATACATAAGTATATTAATTCGAAAAGCCGATGTAAACTGTAACAGATGAGTTTGTTTTTAATTTACTGTTTACTGCTTGGTTGGCCAGCGATGTCAAGCAGTTCACTGCACAAACTCACAAGCAGTATATTGTGTGTACACACAAGTAAGCAGTAACCTGTGTGTGCAAGCAGCAAACGCATGAATTTTGAAATATTTAAAACAGATCGTTAAAAATTTAAAAAGTACGTTCCAACAAAACAGGCAAGTTTATAACTATTATGAATGAAATGCAATTGTTATTTTGTTGTTGTTTTTTCAACCAACTCCTCCTTAAAGTGTTGCATTTCAAGCACCCTTTAAGTAAACTTTATAAAATAGAGATATAACAATCGATATGGTCTTATCGGTGTTGTCAACTGTGTGTGCTTAAAATAAATATGATATCGAAAACACTTGCCAAAATCAATCATAAGTCAACTTCAACTGCAATGTGGTTCAGATTTCATGGCACAGCACTGAGACAATGAATCTTAATGCAAAGCAAAGCAAACAATTGAAGTGCTCTTTGATAAACCATTAAAGCGAATTTAATACCACAAAAACAAAACAAACATTGTGCAGAGGAGAGACAGGACAACGACAAGCAAGTGTCGCTTATGGGGTGGTGAGTGTTCAAAATCAAACACGGAATCAAGCAAATGTCCCAAGTTAATTGAAAATGTCTATTCATCATTCGCATTTTGTTGCCTACAACCATCCATCCCTCTGTAATTTAATACCTGTTTGGTGTCGATATTGAATAAACTATTTGGAGATAATCGCATCAGTAGTCGTCACACATCAGACAGCAGCAGAGAATTAGCGTCCTGCTGGAGGACAAAAGGCAGAAAGGACGCGTGGCAAGCATCATTATACTAATTACTCAAGTATTATTAAAATGCATTCAATTGAAAACATATAACGAGCAGCAACTCAACCCTCAACCCTCCTCCTCCACCTTGTGCATCACTTTGAGCGCACTTGAAAATTGGTTACTTACTTACCGCAAAAAAAATAATAGCAACAAAACACAGGCTCTTGCCACCCGCCGTTGTTGGTTGCTTTGTTGCAATAGCTCCCAACTCCTGACTTCTGCGCCCGAGGCGGCGACGACCCATTCGGCATTAAGAGTCATTGAATTGGCAATAAAAAGATTATATAGCCCGAAGGTGTGAAGTGTACCAGAGAACAGAAGCAGCAGCACCAGCAGCCAAGCACCAACAATAGCCACCAACAAGCACAAGCACAAGAGTGAGAGTAAGAGTGAGAGAGCGAGAGCGAGAGCAGCTGTGCGTGCGTTTTTCTCTCAGTCAGCATATGGGGAGATATTTCACTCAATCTGGCAAGGCTGCAGAGTGCGAGCGCGCAGCCATTTTGCTGCGACGACCAATAGCAGCGCCAACTGACTGCGGCCATTAGCCAATGACAGGTTTTGGCGTTGTTAAAACACTCAAAGACACTTTTAAATGAGATTAGTGAAAGGGAATTACTGCAAAAATAAGTGTTTAAGGAAAAAATAAAAGCTTCTGCATATTTATTCTTGAATTAATAAAAGCTAATTTAACTGTCATATTTATTTAAATATATATATTCTGTAAAGTAAATTTATCAACAACCATTAAATTTACTTGAAGTGTGTTGGAGTTTATCTGGTGGCTTTAGACAATTCCGCGTAAATTCTAAACCAAACAAATATTAGTGTAAACAAGACAATTGACTCTAGGATCGAATTTGACTGTACCCCCAAAAACCCTAATCGATTGCCCAATAGTTGCCAACACAATGTAAACAATAAACAGGATGCACACACTTCCAAAAATAACGCACACTACAGCGTCTTAAACAATGCACACAATTGTAGGATTTTACGCTATATAACATTTTTATTTTATTTTATTTTTTTTCTTTGTTTACAGCACTCGCACTCGCATCACTTGAGAGCAACTCAAACGCTCTTTTTTTGTTTGGCCAATAGGCATTCGGCCTGCCCACGCCAAGCAGCTCAAAATAGCACGCAGAATCCACCACCACCATCACCATCACCACCACTACTAGCACCAGCAGCGAACAGCAGCAAGAGTGCGCACCACTTGAGTGCGGCACTCTGTGAGTGATTCTACGCCGGGATCATTGGCGCAGTTATTTAAAGAGCACACGGAGCGCGACAGCCGAGCGCATTCGTGACTCAGCCTCTGAGACGTGAGCAACCCCTGACGCAAAAGTGAACCGACAGTTTTCAAAGTGGTTTCAAATCAACCCAAAAATATTGTAGAAAAAAGACAAACCAAAACATAAAAAACGTTAAAATATTAATTATGTTAAATATGGAAAGTGCGAGTGCGGGCGCGGCAATTGCGGGCCTGAGCAAAACCCTGACGACGCCCTTCTCCATCAACGATATCTTGACGCGCAATCGACCCGCGATTCCCGCGCGTCGTCTGTCCAGCGTGGATCTGGACGCTGACGCGGAGCTGGCCGGCAAAAGCATGGATCGCAGTAGGTCCAAGTCGCCGCCGCTTTGTTGTCGCGATTTGAGCATCTATAAGTTGGCGCAGTGCAAACTGGGCGCAGAGCATCCGGAGAGTGCCAACAATCGTGGCCAGTCGGCAAGCTATTTGCAGTATTATGCAGCCGCTGCTGCCATGGATAATAACAATCAGGCAGCGGGCTCCTCAACGACGGCTGGCGGCTTGCCCGTTGATTATATGCAGCGTAAATTGGGCTATTTTGGCGCCGCTTTGTCCGCCGCTGCCGCTGCGGCTCCGCTCGACATGCGACGCTGCACCAGCAACGATTCCGGTAAGTTTTTTGCTCTTTGTTCGTGCTAATGGACTCGCCATTGTGCCGCTTTTCGCTTTTTGTTTATTTGCTAACTGTTTTTCTTCTTTTTTTTTTTTAACAAATTTGCAATTTTATTTATAGACTGCGACTCGCCGCCGCCATTGAGCAGCTCCCCCTCCTCCTGCACAGCGGGTGGCTATGGACGCGGCAATTCGCCGCTCTCCCACGACGATAGTCTGAGTGGTGGCAGCGGCCTCAGCCGCAAGAAGCGCTCGCGTGCCGCCTTCAGTCACGCCCAGGTCTTTGAGCTGGAGCGTCGCTTTGCCCAGCAACGCTATCTGTCCGGTCCGGAGCGCAGTGAGATGGCGAAGACGCTGCGTCTGACCGAGACACAGGTGAAGATCTGGTTCCAGAATCGACGCTACAAGACCAAACGCAAGCAGATCCAACAGCACGAGGCGGCACTGCTCAGTGCCACGAAGCGGGTGCCTGTCCAGGTGCTGGTACGGGAAGATGGCAGCACTGCCTATGCGCACTTGACACCAGGAACGGCTGCTGCCGGCTACCCGCACGGCCTGGATCCGGCCCTGCTCAACATTTACAGGCATCAGCTGCAGTTGGCCTACGGTGGATTGCCGTTGCCTCAGGTGCACTTCCCCTACTTTTATCCGCATCCGAAGGTGCCACAGCCAATTCCACCCCCAAGTCAGCAGAATGGTCTCTCCTCCAGCTTCGTGACTGGTTCGTCGGCATCCTCGTCGCCAACGCGCAATCAGCGCAGTCCCTGCCCAAGTCCCAGCCAGGCTCAGGTGCTCAGCTTGGAGAGTGGCGCAGAGAGCAATCATTCTGGCGGGGAGGACTGTGAGGAGAATGTGGAAATTGATTAGATTCAATGGAATACTTGGCGCTATTTGGCCTTTGTGATAGCAATAGAGAATGGTCCTTAGTCTTTATTTGTAGCCCAGTTGGTGCAAGAGAGAGAGAGAGAGAGAGAGAGAGAGAGAGAGAGAGAGAGAGAGAGAGAGAGAGAGAGGGAAAGAGATGCTTGGGGTTAGTTTCTGAGTAATAGCTTTAGTAGCTTTAAGTTTTAGCAATACGCCAATATATGTATGTTAAAATATCAATTTAAATAAATGATATAATGAAATTAAATTGAAATGTGTTCTTAAATAATTATTTTGGAATATTTGGTAAGTGGAACTGGATATTAAAGTGAAAAGAGTAAATGGTAAATGCAACTGAAAATAAGGCAAAGACTTCTTCAACTCTTTGGAAATTATTCGCACCGGAAAGTTTGTGTGGCTGGTTAATAGCTAGACTTTATTTAAATCCATTGAAAACCCAACAATTAAACCATTTAATTCACCATTATTAATATCTACATAGAATAACATAACTGAATCTGAAGTCAACTACTTCGCCACACCCACGACTCCCAGGTCAAATAAAATGACAGTAAAAGTCAAACAATAAATCCAAATTGAACAAATCGAAACTGATTTAAAATATAATTAAATTTTAATATCTTTGTTTGACCTCATTTTCCGACTGAGATCCGTTTGAGTTTTCAAAGTCTACTTCAGAAATGACAGTCACATCACGCAGAAAGTGCCTCAAGATCCGCTCAACTGAAGTGTTCCATGCGTGTGGCCTGAATCTTGGCAAAAAAAAATGAAATGATAATGATGACGACGACGACGACGACGACTTCGCTGGCCACTCAATGTCGGCATAGAAGTGCTTCAATGTGTCATTTCCCAGACGGATGCTGTGTTTCTGACCCACTGACTACCACACACACACACACATGATACACTCTTAGTTTGCAAGGCGCTTTTGCACAAGATCAGCAGCCATAGGATAGAGTATGTCGATGTCCTTAGGTGCACAGCTGGTGGCTGACGACGACAAGGATATGGCTCAAGTGTGCACAGCGTCGACAATTTCGACCATGTTTACAAACAAACAAATTTAAAAACGAACACAAATCAGTCGCTAAGGATTGTCGCCACATCATTGCATGATCATCTGCACTTCAGACGGTAGCCAGTCGCCTGGCAACAAAGTTGCTCAAATTACAAATTGTCTTTCGAATTGATCGCTGATTGTTGAACTAATGCCAGCACCCACCCCCCCTGCCGCAGCACCCCTTTTCCGATGTCTTCGATTTTGTACTATTTGTGCAAGTGGCACGTGGAACTAGCAACTGTATAAACAATAGTTCTACAGTTCCCTCTGGTTGTCCATGTCTGGCCGCATTTTTGAGCTAAAAGCCACAGTTAAAAGTTGACAAATTTGGGACACTAAAATCAATTGACAGTTGTAATTACTTGTGTCAATAGACGGCGTCCACGCGAGTGCTTCTGTCTAGCTAAATATTTTTGGGACGACCGAACTCTTGCCATAATTCATTTTTCGCGCCACTGCAGGAAGTGCTCTAGATAGCCTAAGAAAAATATCATAATATCTTGGCCCCTATGCCAAAAACAAGAAAATACATAAAATGCAAAAACAAACACATTTAATGAAAAGCAAAACACGCCTCTGAATAATAAATAAAATAATATTAGCAAAGTGTACAATTATTAAATAATAATAGAAGAATCCGCTTTTTAAAAAATATTCTAAATATTATTAGAAAAGGGCAGAGTACGGGTAAATATGACAACCAGAAAGGTACTTCTGGTTTGATTGAGCACTAAATATTCATAATCTTACTATACAAATACATTATATTTTAGAATTATATAACCATTATCGTTTGACATATTTTACTATTTAAACGATTATAAATACCAATTTAGAAAAACATTACCTATAATTAAAAAAGTTTATATTTCCCAATTCTACATTTCAGATTAATATGAATTAAGTGCAAGTATTTTCCCTGACTTTCCCTGACTGTATAAATTCATAACAGTATTGCTCGACAATCCATAACTAATATATCACCCTGTAATTTGAGTATATGTTGGATAATTCAATTTGTTGATGGGTTACGCTGCATGTGGCATAGTCGCACATATTGATTTCTACAGGATATATTATCCCCTCATTTATGTTGTCCTACTGCCTGCGGCGGCTTCCCTACTAATTTGTATATACTAAAACGTTGTCGAGCGCATTGATTTGTTTATGCAACCCTTTTTTTTTATGACACATGCACATGATCCGTCTGACACAGTCTGCGGCAGCTACTTGAGGACAGTCCTTTTAACAGGCCGCCTCAGAGTTGATGCCTTTTGGTGAATAATGCAAATTAGTCACGGTTGCATGTGGCGTATGCGCAATCTTTGAACTGCAATTAGCCGAATGCTGGCCGCTTGTCAACGGACGCCAAATCAGCGGTCAGCAAAAATAAACAACAAATTCTGAACAATATTTGGTTAAACATTTTTGGGGCCAGCATTCTTAAGCGGCCATTGAGAGTGCATTTAATGGCAAATGCCGTTGCAAATATTAAAAGCAACAACAACAACAACTAGGTTGCCAACCAGCAACATAACAGCAACGTACAGAATCCAGAACGGATAGATTAAAGTATAAACAAAATGCACTTGCGCCGCCTGAAAATGTTCACTTATTGTAAAATTGTAAAATGCATTTTCGATTTTCTCCTCCTCGTTTTCATTTTTCGTTTTTCGTTTTTCTTTTTTCGTTTTAGCCCATTTGCATGCACTTTGCTTTAGCGTTTTTAGCGTTGTTGTCTCATCGTTCATTTAATTCACCCCTCCCTTCGCCCCCCACACTTGCCCCTTTGCGCTGCCATCGGACTGTTGGCTGCTTCTGCGTCTGTTGCACACATGTGCGCCAGCCATAAAAGGAGCGTCAGCGTCATGAGGATGACTATGAGTGTGTGAGTGTGTGAGTATGGATGGGATTGAGGATGAGGCTGAGGCTGAGGCTGAGGCGAGTGCACCGACTGACACTTCGATTTGCAGCTAACGCTTTGTTTGCTGAAACTATTGTGTTTGTTGTTGTCGTTGTTGTTGTTGTTGCTGTTGCACGTGTTGTTCTTAGGCGGGCTTGTTTATGGACCAGCCAAACTTCTTGGTAGGAATAACTCTACGACAAATTCATCAAGCTATGCACAATCAGTATCGCTCATACCCTTAACCGGAGTCGATCGACTTTCTCACATTTGTTAGCTATTCAAAGATGACTCTTTAAATTTTGTTTATTTTAGTTTGAGTGCCTCACTTATAAGTGCTAATTTAATCTCTGTTTTTTCATTAACTTTTTGTTGATCTATTATGGAATAAGATATGAAATAACGAATTTCTATTTTATGTTTGTTATATAACTAAAATTGTTTTTAGATATCTAACAAATATGCATAATCAATGTAATTGTAATTCTTCCGATTTAATTTTAATCTTTGCGTATCTCAGTAGCTTGAATGGGCCTGTTTTTACCTCCTTGATTAAAATAGCTTCTGAAAAACTGCTCAAAATAATTTAAAAAAATTATAATAATAAGAATGGATTTTTAAGTGTATTTAAGTTTCGGTTTCATTTAACATATCAATATTACTTACTTGTTGTGTTATTAAAGTTGTACTCATGGTTTTATGGGATCGACGACCACGGACAAGCAGCCAGGCAGACAAACAAACGGACAGACAAAAACACACAGTTGAGCAGAAGGAGCTGAGATTGGACCAGGGCAAACGACATTGCCTAATTGGCTGGAGGAGGGTGAGCTGTGGAGGATGTGGGTAGGGATACGTAGGGCAGTCCATTACAATGTTCGCTAGTAAATGAAAATGTTCTCTCCCCCGCCCCCCGTCCCCCCAATACACTGTAAACAAAACAAGAAAACAAAGTATAGGAAAATGATGCGTTGTGCTATTTATGTTTATTTTGTTTTGAAAATTGTGCGTTTAATTTATAGTTAATTGTTTTTCAGCATTTCATTAACCAACGAAATGGTTGACTGTGTGCGGTCCCGAAATTTCATGGGAACCCAACCCACACACCCCTACACACACACACAAACCAACAAACCCACCACACTACACATTGACACCCGTCTATGGAATTATATTCGTAGCAATTGTTGTTGATGATGATGCTATTTGCGCAAGTTGTTGAATGGTGGTGAACAACCCCCCACACACACACACACACACAAACACACACGCACACAGTCAGCTCTTTGTGCCCCTTGTCTTGCTGCTCGGGATTTCCATATGCGCCGCCCAGTTGCCCAAAAACTAACGGCACTCGCCCTCGGCCCAACAAAATGGCCACCCACCTCAACCTCAACCGCTGCCGTCGGCAGCTGCTGAAATCTTTGCGCAATGTGGCAAGCAGAATCTGCCCCACTTCCCCACAACGCTCTCACCCCATTCGTTGGGGCACTCCTTTGCTTATTTGGCTTGAAATAAAAAAGCATTTAAACGATTTTGGTAGCTCCAACGAGTAGACGAACTAAAAAAAACGAAGAAGACGAAGAAGAAGAAGAAATTGGAATGATAAATGTTTTGGTTTTTGTGATTTTGTTTATTGTTCAAATTTCGCCTAAAAAAATTTCAAATTTTACCGCATGTATAAAACGAATCTTTTATAGGCGTCCATTCAAATCGGCAAATGCTCGAGTTCAGATCCTAGTTGTTGTTGTCGTTGTCGTTGTTGTGTTGTTGTTGTTTTGTGAGCTGTTTAGATAAAAATTTGTGGTGTAGCACACACATGTGCCATTGGGGCAACTTAATTAGCATTTTTAATGGAGCTGCCGACTCGTAATGCTCGACAATTAAAGACGCTAAGACACAAACCAAAATGATTTCAATGGAAGTGCGCGTGAGATTCGTTGAGCTTCTTGCACAATATTCGGGTTTTTACAAATTTTTTTTATTATTTGTTTTTGGCCTTATCAGCTGCCAGAGCGCTACTAATAGGCCAGCAAAAAACACTTGAAGTTTAGCCCTATCAATCGGATCTGATCTGAGCTGCTCGAATCTGTTTTTTCCACTACATATTTGGCAATGTAAAGTGTTTTTTTTGTTTTTTTTCTTTTGCTTGCTGCTAAAGAAAAATGATGTTGAAAAACACATTCAACATTTTATTCTAAACACTTGCCATGAATCAGTTTTCCTTCCAAGATGACGCTCATTGTGTTTGACGCGTTCTGTTTTTGTTCTTTTGGGATGCTTAACACACCTTTGGGGCACTTTGGGCGCTGCTTAAACAACTGGCGATCTCCGTTGTTGATTTTATTTATGCATATATTTATTTGGAAAATCATAAAAAAGCAAAGCGCTTAAAGTCTGTTTAAGTGTTCATTGCTTAGAGTAAACAAATTTATATGTGAACATTCTCCAGTGAATTTGGTACATTAAGCCATTTTCGCTTAAGAGCCAAATAATGCACACAGAAAAAAAAAAAACTGTGATAAAATACGCTTTTCTTTTCTTTTTTTTTTACCAAGTTAAGTCGCAATTGAAATTTCCAGCGTCATTCGTAATAGAATTTGCTTCAAGTAGGTGTATAATTTTTATAATAAATAAAATAATATAACTTAATCAATCATGAACGTCTTATTTCTAGTTTATTTATGATTTATATACCAAAAAGCATCTGCAATGTTCCTAGTATAAATATTTTGGTATCTTTGAAGTATTTCGACATTGGACATTTGTGTTATATGAGTCTTCCAAGAGAGTCTCCTGACCAAATGTACCCCGAGGTACTTAACAGTAACAGTTTAAAGGCACTGGCAAGTCTCAAACAAAAGTAGGCACAGTTTGTGGCAATGAATGTTGTATCTTCAACGTGTGTTGCAGCTTCGTTGCCTGTGGCAGTCAGCTGTAAAAATTGTATACCTTTGAGCAATTCCAGCATTTAAAGCTGATTTAAGTTTCAATTAATCGTACTTCTAACACAGAAACACAACACACAAATGCCAAGTCAATCTTTCCGGGCATAGGCGGAGTTACATTAACACACTCATGTGGAACATGAGCTAATTGGAATCTTAACACAAGAATTAACTCAAATTTTACGGTACGCATAAATCAACTCCATCAGAAGACTGCTGGCCATTGGCAACACCAACACAATCGTTCTCCTTCCCATTTCCTTCTGCTACACATGCTTATTCTTTGTCTTGCTCTTGCATCTTCTTAACGCTTCGTTAGTCCTTTGGCCTTGGCTTGTGTGTGGCAAGTAAAGAGCGCAAATTACGATTCAAATGAATTCCACCCACATTTTCATAGTGTCATTTTCTTTATATATATTTTTTTCATAATCATTAAATGGGAAATTTACTCGGTATTTCTTTAATTATCATTTTTTTTTTTGCCTTTCTGTCTCCGCTCTGCCTGCTAATGGCCACACCCACTGCCTCCCCTCCCAGAGCAACCATTAGTAGCAATTTTCAATTTCCTTTCTGATGAAGCACATGGCAAGAGAGCAAATTACATGGCACACAGCACAAGATGAGCCATTCCCATTTTATTTCTTTCCATTCACTTTTCGTTACTTTTTTTTTTTTTTTTGTTTTGTATGTTTCTTGTGCTTAGTCCTGGCGCACGTACGCAATTGTCCTGAGTCCTGAGTTATCTGAGTCGATTCGAATAGAAGATTTTCTTGCAATTTTCACGGCGCAAATGAACGGCCATTATGTTGATCTCAAGTGAAAGCAGCGTCTGAAGTGAATTTCTAACGAGCCGAATGCCAAAAAGCCGTCCAAAAGTCGACGACCAACTCGCAACTCAGTGCGTTGCTGTGAGTTATCCTTTTGGCCCTGCCTGCGACTGCAAAGGACATGCTTCAATTGAATAAGAAGAAAATTACACTTAAACGTTGCGGCGTGTTGCCAACTACCTACAGCACCAGGGGAGTGGCCACCACCAAACGACAGCCAGTCGGTGTTATTATGGCCAAGATGGGTCAGCATTTATTGGCTGCCTTTGATTGGATTGCATTCATCTCAGGTTAGATGAAACGATGCCTAAAGCTAGTTCAAGCAACTTGTTCCCTGCTCTCTTATGGCATACTCTTACTGAGGAATATATGAAATCACTGATTCATATTCGATTACAAACAGATTGATCTTGTTTTGGTCATATTAACATCAGCTTCAATAATAATTACGTCTGCTAGAATCCTTAAGCCTCTATTTGTTTTAGAGTCACGAATTATTACTTCAATTATATTTGAATCTTAAGAAAACATGAATCTTATACAAAATCTTTAGTTCGTTTTTAAATTTATAAAAGTTTATTTGAATAAGCTAAATACTGAAATGACAGATGGCAGGGTATATTTCTAATTTCTCAAAATATTTTCTAAAACTAAAAGATATATATCTGAAAAATTGAAAAATAGCCTTTTACTTATAGGCTTAAGTCCATAAACTAAGCTCAGACTCAGAGATTGGTACTGTTTGCCTATTTGCCTACTGCAAGTCACTCAATTAACTCATTCACTTGAAAAGCCATTCAACAATTGGCTGAACTTCGCCTCACACTTTAATGTCAGGAGCAATGCTGCCACATCCCCACACCACCAGCCCCCACCCTGGTGCCGTGGCAAAGAGTTGTTGCGAGTTGTTTACAGCGCCAGCCAGAAATTCCAGCCAACGACAAATAAGCCCCAAACTGAAGTTTATTTGCTCAAGCCGTTGACAGACAAACAGTTGCCGCCTCGCACACACTCGTACACTCACATACTCATACACTCACATACTCATACACTCATACACTAGTGGGTGTCTATGCACAACACTCATACGCACTGCGTGCGCCACTTGCATTAACATGTCATTAGCCAAGACTGCTGTGTGTGTGTTCGTGTGTGTGTATTTGTCCGTATCCGTGTTTTGCATGCCTGTGCTTCTGTTTGTCTGTTTATCTGCGCCTTTGTTTACAATAAAGCGTAATCATGTGTTACTAATACCAATAATAAAGGCAATGGGCAATCTAACCCTATGCGGCACATGAACTCTCTCCTCTCTCTCTCTCTTGCTCTCTCTTTCTCTTTCTCCTGCTCGTGGAATGGGATTTGGATTGGATTTGCTGCCGCTGGCGCTGTCGTCGCACCCACTTCAATGTCAGTTCGTGCATGCATAATGAGCAGCTCCACCAACTTGTCCCCGGGGCGCACTCGCCTCAAGTGCACTTTGCCGTGCTAGTCTGTTGGGGAGGGGTGTTGGTGTTGGTGGGGAAGAGAATGCCTGTAAGCATTCCATTGCAGGAAGCAACTGTCTTTTGTGGCAACATGTTGTTTATGGTACGAAAGTTGGTCAAAACATTTATAGACCAGGCTGAATACTTGATGATTTGGTAAGCCGCTCACTTGGCCAACATTCATTCATGAGGCAATCAAATTCTGAATTCCGACACAAGATGAAGATGTTGAAATCCATTTGAGATTATGATGAATATGATTTTTATTGAGTTCAGACGTATTTTTCAGCTAAAGATTTTTTTAGCGTTTTTTTGTTGGTTTTTTTGCTTTTTTTTTGTTTAATTTCTTAAGAACACTTGGCCTGGCACTCTGGCGCCTTAAGTAGAATTCATCTATGCGTATAATATATACATATATATATATACATATATATATATTGTGAGTATGTATGTGAGTCAGCTATTGATTTGGATTCATTAAATACTTAAGTAGACGACTCAAGTGCCAAAGTTTAAGTGTTGGGGTTATTATTGCAAAAATATATATATGCATTTGCCTACGTAAGGCAACAAAGAGCAGAGACCAGCAGTACTTAAACATATGGTAATGAAATGTTTCCAACATTATTGAGATATGCATGGTATGTGATGTGCATGCTAAAATGTATACCCAAAATATCAAGTACAGACACAGGTCAAATAAGTTTGCTAAAATTGAAACCTTTAGAACCAAAAACTTTAGATTAAAACTGCATATTTTTCTCGACAAAATTGTTATAATTGTTAATTGAAAATAAAAATATATATAAAAATATAAAAAACATACTATATACTATTTACTGTTTCTTGTGCTTTTTGCTTTTAGTTCCAGACTTTTTAGCAGATTTCTTAACGCAGAAGCATAGCAGTAATATGGGAATTAGCATAGAGCCCAAAATGAAAGCAATTACATCGAGCGAGTAAAACTGATACCAGGCAAGAGAGACGCCTGCATCTACCATGTGAGGTGCGCCACGATGTTCAATGATGTAATCAATCCAGAACATGGCCGTATCCATGGGGCTCAGGGGCCGTTCCCGAAATATGCGCGAAGCACTCTTCATGGTATCTCTGTACTTGGGATTCTCAAGCAGCGCCAGCAGCGAGGAGCGAAGCTCCTCTGCGGAGATTGTGCGATAATCCAAGCCCAAAGCATAGCCAGCAGCCTTGCCCATATTGATGTTATAGTGTTGATCACAGTAGACTGGCATGCCCAGCACGGGAACTCCATATTGCAGCGCCTCCTGCATGCCAAAGAGTCCGCCATGGGCGATGAACACCTGGACATTGGGATGTGCCAGAATGTCGCCCTGTGGCATCCACTTCTGGATCATCACATTCGCTGGCAGATTGGGAAAGCTGTCATTTTCGAATTTCCACAAAACTCGCTGCTTTAAACCGCCGAATGCATCCAGAAACACTTTCAGCTTCTCGGGCGGCAAATCAGCACTGCGAACTTGTGAACCTGTTCGAAAAATGAATATAAAATTATTTTAGAACAGAGCAGAAAGTTATAGTTAAAGTTGCCAACTGCCAAATATTCAATTAAATAACTTATCTAAATTTGTATACTTTCTTGCTTCTTTTAAATAAATTAGTCGCTTTAAAATTGTTGGAAATCTTTGAGTAAATATTTTTAAAACTATCAATTCAAATACTAAATAAATAGTAGGAGTTCCAATTGATAACTCACCTAGACTGAAGTAAATGGCGCCATGTGTGGCCCCATCTAGAAACGTTTGCAGCTGTTGTGGCAGTGGCTTGGGCGGCAAAATATGCAGTCCGCCCACAGATATCATATTGACGGATATAGGTCTGGGTGACTCCAGTGGCATGTAGTTGTTCATCAATATGGCTGAGATGTTTCGATGCAGCTGCTTGACTGTGGGCACCACATCCAGCACATTGGAGAAGTGTTTGCGCAGCACAGCATCGTGTCCGGGATAGAATAGAAAGTTGCGCATTAAACTTTCTGTGCCACAGATGAAAAAATTGAAAAGTCGCTCCGCGAATGTCATTCGATTGGTGTAGGTTAGAAAACTGTGTGGATTATACGACCAGGGTGCGATAATGCCGGCCAATTCCGTAAAGTAATTGGTATTGCCAAATGTGGAAACGGTGATAACTGGTACCTGATATAGATGACCCAGAATGAGGGCGCCATCATTGTAGAATTGCTCTGCCAAAAGTAGATCGTATTTGCCCAGCTTATCCTTGGCATTGATGAGGGCCTTCACTGCAGGCTGTCCAAATGCAAAGTCCGTGCTGTGTATGCCGATAACGTGGAGCATCCGAATGAATGTGAGCGTAGTCACATCAGCCATATCCAAAATGATCTCTCTGTTTGACATCTCCTTCACTATAAATACAATAAATACAATTATGTTAACCTGTCAGGAACATCATTTGTGGTAGTTAAGTACTCACTCTCTGTCCAAAAATCGTAGGACTCCAGAAGAATTTCTTTGTAATTGGAACCCAAGTTTTCGCTCTCCAATGAAAAGGGTGTAATGAAAGTCACCTTAAACAAAAACATTCTGCTTAGAGCTCTCTCGATCTTAAGTAGCAAAACACTTACCTCGTGTCCGTTCTTAACTAGTTGTCTTATAATAGAGTTTGTCATCATAAAATGACTTTTGCCCGGAAAGAAAAACGCAGCCAGAATTCTTGCTCCAGTTCCCAACTGGAATTCCTGAAGTGCGACCAGACTTATGAGTAGAAATTTGAGGGCACATCTTGCTTGCTGAGAAACAATAAATAGTCTATTAGTTTTTGAATTGTTGACCAGGTCACAATCAGTCAGTAATGTGCTTATCTCCTCAAGAGAGTTGATAAGAGGCCAAGACGTGATTGCAACATAATTGCCACTACAAGCTCGTATATCGTAAGGTCACTAATACATATTTATGATGCCAGTTCACATAAATCCAATGTCAAGTTTCGCTTATCAATTGTGCAACCACTTAAGTTTGTTTACTCACCATTTTGCAATAATAATATTATCGGAGAAATCGATCGACTTGTGTCTCAGCCTGACGATGAAACAGTACTGAAATACCATTCGAGTGTGTAAAATTCATATTTTACGCTCTCATTTTGTTTGCCTGAGGTGATAACGTAATCACAATAACATTTGAGTAAACCAAAAGAGCTCAGTAGCGTTAAAAACGGCAACCTGCAATCTAATTAAAGAGCATATTTAATAAATGCATATTTAATAAATGTATTCATAGAGACAGCTCAATGGACGTCATCTGTGAATGAATAATGGAGAGCGTTGACAAATTTATTTGCTTACAAGCTGGTCTTTTCTACTATGGATCACTTAAAATCTGGTTTGTGCACTTCTTAAAATTGTTGTTTCGTCCTATTAAAATGTTCTCTAACAAAAATAATCATTGTGTCGAAAATAAATGGCAAGAAGTATTCGAATTTGTTTAATTAATATTTATATATAGAAAAGTTTGAATATTTCAAATATACTCCATCAAATGTATACCATTTCAAATGATGCCCATTTCAATTTTGCAATTTTCATAGTCATTGATTGTACAATCTGTGTGTGTTTTTGTGTGTTAAAAACTTATTTCCTTCCCGTTTTGTCTGTCCCACACTAACTTAATTCGTTTTTATGAACTTTCAGACAAATTGGGCGAAACATTAGGAAATCGTAAATAAATCATAGGCAGTTGTCTAAATCAAATATTTGTTTGCCGTTTGCTGTAAAAAATTGCCACCCACGCGCAGAGCACTGGGGGCCAAAGGGAGGACGATGGATTGTTCGTAAAATCCCCATACTTTCCCCATGACAGCGACTAGCGAGTAGTATATAGTGTGTATATGTATGTGTGTGTGTGTGTGTGTGTATATATAGCACACATATTTTAAAAATGCAATAAAACTCAACGCGCCAATTTGTAGGCAATTAAATTTTGTTTTCGTCTAGGAATTTTGATTTGAAGGCGACTCGAATTGAAACTCTGACGTTCGGGTTCCGATCCATTGCATTGATTGACTCAATCTGGCATTTTGGTTTTTGTTGGTTATCATCATAATTGTCTTGATGATGATCACGATGCCATTGGGCTTATTGTTGTTTACATGTGTCATATTTAGCCAATGTGTGTTTTTATTGTTCTTTTTCTTGTTTCTTGTTCATCAGCCATGTACACAAATTAGATTTGGCATTTAGCTTGAACTTTATTTGTTGCCACATGCCACATTGAAATGATACTTTGTTTATTAGCACGAATTGGCCAAATAAATGCAACAGCCTTTTGCGGTAAATCATCTGATTGCGAAGAACCTTGGACAGTCACCGTCGCCGTCGCCGTCGCCTCTCTTTTAGGTGCTTCTCAAGTGGCGCAACCGTTGAATACTACTATGTACTTTACAGGGGCATTGCACATTTGTTTTCTAAGCAAAATCGCATCCACTTTGAATCGCGCAATCATTGCAATGATCTCAAACTCAATCTCAACGGCTGCAAAAGGCAGCCATAAATTCCACACTGTACACTCAGAAAAATAAATCGTTATCGAGTTCACACACACCTCGAAAACCTTATATCAAAAACGTTTTCTTTAATCAAAAGCGTGTTTTGAGTTTTCGATTTGTAATCTTAAATTGGAAATCTTATCTTAAATTCTTATATCATAATCAGTAGTATTCCTGGGTTTTCACGATATCACAATATGAAAATTGATCAGCTTGCAACGAGTATTAAAGATCTTAAACGAAGAATTCGAATTTGAGTTCTAATTCTTGATGCAAGCAATTTTCTTCACATTTAAATGTGAATTGATTTTGAAATCTTGAGTGATCTGTGCCTATTTAGGAATATTTAAGTAGGTGGCATTTATATGCCAGCTGCACTTTCATTTCGAACATGTATACTTCTCCGAGTGTAGGTCTCCCAAGTGTTCCATCAAATTGAAGCTTTTAAGTCTCCTGATGCTGAAGTGCTTGCGTTCTAATTTTGCATTGGGGCAGGCTGGTCAAATGCGCAATTAGCCACTATTACATTAATAATACGCGTACTTGTCTATCCCAATACCAGAATAATTGAACCTGAAATGGAAATATCGAAAATCAAATTGAATTCAAATTTCAAATGAAATGAAAAGCGCACATTGGCCAAAGTGAATCGCCAGCACTTAAGAGCTTAAAAGTAACGAGAACAGCAAACTGAGGCGACTCCAACGAACAGCAGCACCACACTGCTCTCCTTCTCCCCTCCCCTAGATATGTGGCTGACCTTCAGTCGGCGCCGGTGGCACGGTGCCACAGTGGCACGGTGGCAATCGGAAACCGTCGGCATGGCTAGCGTCCGTGAACTGATCATCTAATCATGCGTGTGGCTTTTGTTTATAAATCACGCCTGCTGCACGCCTGTGCGGCTACTTGTCGCCCAGGCCGAGGCCCAGACTCCGGTCTCACTTGAGTGTGTCGTCGTCGGCAGGACATGATCAATGTGTGGGAATGATCTCAAGTGGGCGAGTGGGCAGACACAGATTCAATTCAATTGCTGCAATATTTTGACCAGCTTGTCAAGTGTTGTGGCCCAAGGTAGCAAGGCAGCGCTCTGACAATAATTATTGCCGCCAATCCTTGTCTAGACAAGGCTTTGTTCTGCGGTGGTCCTCAGCCCATTTGTTATGTTTGTTATGTTTGCTATTTGTTATTTTGATTTGCGCCACAGGACACGGCGGTTGGCCACAATTGCGACACATTAGCAGCGACAATGTTTTGTCGCCCCTGAGTGGCGTAGTCTGTCGACTACAACTGCAACTGGCTTCACGACCACACATTGCTAACAAATAACCAAATAACCATACTTCAAATAAGCAATGCGCACACAGCAACAACAAACAACCGCAACAACGACACACAACACACACACAACACACAACCACATTTAATGCACTCCATATACAAATCAGTTAGAGCAGCATCCATCACCCTCCCCTCGGCCATTGTCAGCCCTATCAGGTGTGTGGTGGCGTTGACTTTGCGGCTCCCCTTTTTGGCCCGCGCCCCTCCCCCAACCAACCCATTTTAGAAGGGCAGCAAGCGCAAATTGTTTATGCTACTTTGGGCGCAATAAAAGCGGCGCAAGGCATTCAGGCCATGTGGGTGGTCCGCTATGCTCAGCATATGATCTTGGTGGTGCTGCTGGGTGCTGGGTGGTTATGTAAATGCCAATGAGCGAGATACAAAGAGCAAGCGAGAGAGAGAGAGAGAGAGAGAGAGAGAGAGAGAGAGAGAGAGAGAGCTAGAGCGCCGCTTGCTAATCACCGGCAACTCTTCCAAGTCGCTCGTGTGGAATTAATTTGGAGCATTGTATTTATGCAGAAGGATGTCCGCATTGCCTGGTGTAATCCCTGTGAGAGCTGTGCCATAATTGAAATTGATTTCTGGTGAAAGCAGCCACTTGTAAGTGGCTGTCGGAGTGGCAGCTATATACATTTATATATATATATATATATAGAGTATGTGACTCTGGAGTGGCAGCCGCATAATTTGACTTAATTGTGTCATTATGTGCTGCTATCTATAATGAGAGACAGAGAGAGAGAGAGATAGAGAGAGAGTGGGGCCTGGGAAAAGTAGGACTACTCAAGTCAAGTGTGATTTTGAGCCCATTAGCGCTGATCTTTGAGTTTGTTGACCTTTCGATAAGCGCGGAGTGGCATCTTTTGCCCCCGAAAATCGCTTTACAGCGACAGCCGCATAATTTTGAATATTTCACTTTGTTGTTTCTAGGTGGATCTATTTATTTTCACTTGTCAACAAAATCGACATAATTCACATTTTGATTTGTGACTCACATCAAACAAGCAATGGAAAACAAATCGCTGGCTAAATCATTTCTCATTTGCGTAAATTTGCAAATTTCAAAATTTACGTCTTCATAATTTGCACTCAGTTTTCGCAGTTTTACGATATTATGCGAGATGCGCTATACATTAGCAGCAATTTTTTTTGATTGATTTCTATTTTTATGGTCCAGCAGGGCATGTGCCCAAAATGCTAACAAAAAAAAAAAGCGTGGTAAGCAGCAAAGGCGCCAGCTGCTTATGGGAACTATATTTAGACATTTAAGCTCAGTGGGTATTTTTATAAAATGGTGATTAATTATGATATTACGATGTATTAAATAAAAGGCATGTAAAAACGTCAATTAATTGTAATGATTAAAAAGTTTGACAAAACAACAATTTATTGAATTTGAATTTAACGACATTTTGGTTTGTGTTTAGGCTGTGCTTTTTGTTTAGGTTCGTTGCTCAACTGAGCTTTATTTGGTGTGTGCATGAGTGCCAGTAATTTGGTTGGGAGCCTCACTACTATGCTACTTAGCGAAGACATCATCCATTTGCGAGCACTGCTTGAGCAAGAGGTTGAAACTGCATAGTGAACTAGTTCGGAGCTACAACAAATACCAGTATTTTGTGTAACTACTTGATGGAACCGGCTTTTAGTCCCGACAACAACCAATTATGCAGCTAACTGCTTGATAAGTCCTTGTCGTGCAAGCAGTAAATGCAGACAAACTTTATCCGTATATTCCAGCAAATTGGAATTACCTCAATCCAATTGAAAGCTAGACCAATTGAAAAATATCCCTCAAGGAAATATTAATAGGGAAATTCAAAGTAATTCCAATAAAGAAGAAAAAACAGCTTTTTAACTTTAGTTGTTTTCAATATTTATTTAAGATTGCATAAACTTAAAATTAGAAATGTGTCATAAACTACAAATCAGTTAATACAATAAATATGTATTGTGTGGCGAATTTCTTATATACATAGGTATATATAGGTATATATGTATATATATATGTATATATATGTATTATAGACACGAATCACAAGCAAATTATGCGAAATTTAATACTACAATTAGGAAAAATCATTATAAAAAAAGAAAATTGTTTTGCGTTTTCATTTTTTGGCAATTTAGAAGTCGCGTGTGTGTGTGGGTGTGTGTGTGTGTGCGTGAATTTTCATATCATAATCAGAACAATTTACAAATTGGGCTATTCACGTGTGTGTGTGTGTGTGTGTGTGAGTGTGTGTGTGTGTGTGTTGGGGAGAAGTTGGATTAAATTTCATCACTTTGATTAGTGGCCCAATTCCGGCTGTGGATTGTAGAGCAGTTTGCCATCCGAGTAACGCATTAGGGTCATCATCTTCAGCATGCGCAGATCTTCCTTGTCCCGACTGCTGCTGGAGTTGGCGTTGGAGTTGGAGTTGTGGTTGTTACTCAGATTCGATTGGTTTTGGTGGGTGGTCCTGCATCGCGTGGGATCTGCTGACTGGTCGGGTCTTTAAAATACTCAAGTCATTAACATTCTCTAAAAAGCAACTGTTCGCTGACAATTTGTTCACGCTCTGCACATCCTTTTTCAGCTCCTCCATGTCCCGCTTGAGTTTGGCCCGACGATTCTGGAACCAGGTGATCACCTAGCAAATATATAGATATATATAGCATAAATATGTATTATATATTTATTTTAATACTCACCTGCGCATTGGACAAACCCAAGCCGAGGGCGATCTCATCGCGATCCGCTGGCGACAGATATTTCTGATAGAGAAAACGCTTTTCCAGCTCAAAGATCTGCTGATTTGTAAATGCAGTGCGCGACTTGCGCTTCTTCTTTGGATTGGATCTCGTCGCAAAGATGTTCAGCGTGGAGGGATCTAAAAACAAGAATCATACAAAAAAATGTGTGAAATGTCATAAATTATGAATCGATGTGTCTTTCTCTCTCTCTACAAAAAGGTTGATTCGATTTGTGATTTGTGAGTGCCTCTATTAAGTTGAACTATCTGAGCATTGTTGGCTTGTTGGCTTTTACAGCCCTTTGAGCCCACTTTCAATTCAATCAGCACAGTTGAAACAATTTTTAATACACTAATTCCAAGAGGCCAACAAACCAATGGAATTCATAATAGACACAAATCGCTGGGCAGCAGTAAAATAATAAAAAAAAAGAAAGAGCGTTGGCATAATCTGAAGCGGCTTTGTTTAACTATACTCTATATATAGAAATCGCTTGATGTTGGCCCGATCGTCAAGTTTTTATGGGCGTTCACGCTGCCACAGTTTTGGGCTTGATTCTCTGTTGGAGTTTTTTGTTGTTGTTGTTTTTGGTGTTTCTTTTTTATTGGCAGCAACGCGTTGAATGATTTCCTTGATGGGAATTTTGTTGTTGTTGTTATTGTTGTTGTTGTTGTTCCTGTTGTTATTGTTGCTGTTTTCTTAAGCGTTTCGATTGGGGATTTGATTTGATTTGGTTTTGATTGCTAGGTATTTGTTTTGTTAGCATGTTTAAAGGTAATACGCCAGCTGATTGATGTTTTTTTTGAAATTATAAATTCGGCTTCGGCGGCGGAAATCACATTAGGCATTGTTTATTTTATTTATCGCGCGAGCTTTTTCAATTTTTGCTCGGCTTTCAATGGAATTCAAATGGATTTTATTAATGCATAAATTTCAATAGACATTTGCTCCACACTCATCTCTCAGAATGGCAACGGAAATGGCTGCCCGGCGAGGAGCAGGAAGTCTCTTTTGCATTGGCAGCTGTGCATTTTAACCCCTGACCAAAAAAAAAACGACAACGACTTCAATTGTTGTTAAACATGATGGACAATTAGTAATTAAGACGCCCATAATGAATACAATTTGCTCCTTGAACGGCCAGCAGCCTGTGCCCTTTGTTCATAAGGGGTTGGTTTGCGTCTTCTTCCGTCCTGCCTTTGACCCGAAGCCATTTTTGACACCCTTGTGATGTGTTTATTGTAAAGTTCATTTATCTCCACTCGGCTGCAACACGCCCATTTCTAGTAGAGCTGTAGGCAAAGGAAGTGCGCCTATTATTACATTTGTCTATCCAAAAGAGTGTATTTTTTCACCTACTCACAATATTGAATGTAAAGTCATGTTGCAGTATTTGAACAGTCATAAAGCAGACTGGGGCAGCTACAACTCTTTGGCAAGTGTATTGTTTGATGTGAATCATAATACAATAATAATAATAATCTTTATTACACTGTATAAATATTGCTAAGAATTACATAAATCGTATTTATGAAATACGCTGACTGGGCTAACAGAGCAAAGGGGGAAAAAGGAGCAGTCGGAAAGGGAGTAGCAATAAATGTTTGCAGTTATCGAAATATTTCACAAAATAATCATAAATAGTATGCAATGAGCAACTTTTTAGTTTAGCAAATACAACCATCAAAAAGTTATTCAATATAGGATTTATTATACTGGTTGAGATCGGATTACAATATCATTTAACTGTAATTCGTTCGAAGGATGAGCTAGATTGTTTTAATCTCTTTTGTTTCAAAAGATATCCTTTGAAAAATTACCCAATTTGGGCATTCCAATTTTTCCACATTTTAGGAGAATATTTTCGAGATCGGACCACTATATCATGTAGCTCAAGTAGCAACAATTGGTCAACAGATGAAAAACTCTTTTGTTTAATAAGTTATCATAATCAAACTGACTTTCTGCGTGTTATGTTATGTTCCTTGTAAGAAACTCTCAATAACTGACTGTAAATTGTATAGATTTCATAGGAACAATCGGAAGTTTCTTAAAATATAGAGTGTAATTCATATTCGGGGTGCCTAAGTTAGGCGTTCTCTCTTGTTTTCGATTAGTGGCGAGTATTAAGTTAATTTCGTAAGCATATTGCGAGTTGAGAGTTTTGTAATAATCCGATGTTTACCTAAACAATTGTCTGCGAGCTGTGTAAGTTAATAGAGCCGACATTATTATATGGCAGCTGCATGAAATTGAAGCGAGTTGCCAATTAAACTTTGGGCAATGAAGGCCGCCCACTTCAACTATAGGTTGTTCGTTCGTGCAACATGTAAAAAGACCACGCCACGCCTCTCATTAGAGTCAGCGGTGTCTCGAGTTGACCAAAATCGATATGCTGCTATTTGTTTTTTTCTCTCTGTTTTTATGGGTGTGTGTTTTGGCCATTTATTGCGCTTTATTAATTATGAAAGCAGCACTGTGAGAGGGGGGTGGGGTTGGGAGGGGGCTGGTCAAGTTATGCGCTGAGCCCCCAAACTAGTTGGCACTAACAAGTTACATGCGGACTAACACATTGGCCAACGAATTGGCCAACTGAATTATGGCCTGCACCCACAAAGCAGGTCGAAGCAGGGGCGGAGGATGATGGAAGTGGAAGTGGCAGAACAAACAATGTCATCAGCATAACTAATCACAATGACAGCAAAGGCGAATGGCGAGTGGCGAGTGGGATAGGGAGAGGGAGAGGGAGAGGGAGGAAGAGAGGATGTGTGTCTGTGTTGAAATACAGTGAGAAAAAAATAATGAAATTTTATTTAAAAAGCAGCTCATCTTATTTATTTATTTTTCAGAATGTACATTTTTAAGATGGAAGGAAATGTTGAAGTGCTTCTTGAAATACAGTGAGAAACAAATGAACTATTATTATTATTTTATTTCATTTTGTTAAATCTATTATATAATTTCTCGTTGTTAATTGTCCCTTTCCAAAATATGTTTCTAAAGATGGAGTTTCTTATTGAAAATTAATGATATTATTGTCATTGCCAGTTAAGAATAAGAAATAGAATATGAAATATGGATTATATATTTTCTTAAACAGTAGAACAATGAGTAATTGATTATTATTTGCAATATTCTTATTTTAATATGAAGACGAATCTCGAAATATATTGGTGTATATTTAAAACAACCAGCTAATAATATAATTACTTATATAATTCGAAATAGTTCATCTATCGACGCAAAGTTTCGCGCTCTGTTTTATTTAAATTGATTGCTCTTTTTTTTTCGTTCAGTGTAGTCAAAACAGGAGTACAAAGTAGTTGTAGCTGCCGCTTCTGCTGTGGGTGTCTTGGCCAAAATAAGCATAAATTATGCCAGTTGGCCAGCGTTGCTAATTGAGACACAAACACAAAATGACGCATTGTGCTCAGAACAAGGGCTTGGTTCTGGCTACTCAACTGACACGTCCCAAATGCCATTATGTATAGATATAGTAAATAGACGTATATATGTATTTGTCGCCTTTCGTGCCTTATCGCTGCCAGATCAGAGAACTGGGCCTAATGGCGTTGGCGGTAATTAGATAAATTAAGTAGCTGCCGCTCACACATAAATTAAAAGCAATTCATTAAACCTCACTGCACTTTTATTGGGCGCATTATAATGGCCAGATCTGCCAGTGTGGCTAAGTGAAAAGTACATCAGAAAATCAGTTGGCTATTGAGCCGCTTAAGTGTCAAAAAGGAATGAAAAGCAGAACAGTGGCAATTATGTTAATTAAGAGGCAACCAAAAACAGAGCGAGAGATAGAGAGAGAGAGAGGGAGAGATAGAGGGAGAGAGAGTGCAAGAAAAACGATTCAATTAAAGCCAACTTGAGATCAATCAGCTATCAGCTGCGATCAGCCCTCGGGCATCGAACGAGCCCCATAATAAAGTGCAGCATCTAATCCGGAGCAGAACGAAGAGCAGCAGCCAAAGTAAAAGCCCGAGGAGATTGAGATCTAGAGATCATCAGCACTCCATGGTGTATGTGTGTGTGTGTGTGTGCTACCAAGATGAGTATCGCATCAAAGCATCAAAGAAAAGTGTTCGTTGAGCAGCACACACAAGGTGCGCTGGTTTCACACGCTCATCAAATGCTCGGCCCGGCGAGTTGGTAAGATGAGCTGCTCTACCTAAGGTTGAGAGGTGTACACCAGCAGCCAGGAGAGCAGCAGCATGACATGTGGAATGTATGTGTGTGTGTGTGTGTGTTGTGCTGTGCTGTGTTGTGGTGTGGCAGCGGAAGACTCAATTAGAAGCCGATTGTGGGGATTTATGAGCACAAGGAATTTCACATTTTTCGGTTTAGCCTGGCTAAATACCTGCCAATAGCTTTCAAAAAGCTTCTTTTTCTTTTTTTTAAATTATGACAATGCGGCGACCTTCTAGCGAAAGAGCAAAAGAGCCGCAGCGACAAAGAGTTTTGCTAAAAGCGTTAATTATACGCCCCAAACCCCTTGGACCCCGGCCCAATCTTAGGCTCCAAATTGCTGGAAGCGTTCGCAGCGTTGCATTGAGTCGAAAACACAAAAAAGGAAAGAAAAAAAACCAAAATAGTGGGACCACAAATTGCGTTGTCCAGAAGCTCGAAAGCGTAATCAAAAACTAATTTTAATCCTGTTTGGGGCCACGCTGATGAGGGATCAGATTAATGCGACGCACTCACTCAGCGTTGCAGCAACCGACACCGAAACAAAAACGACACAAGGGCAAATCACTAACAAAATGCAAACAGGGGCGTCCCTGGGAGGGGGGACTGGGAGGAGGCAACACAGCACAACACAGTTGTCATCGAGTAATCTAGCAAGTTACTTCTGATATTTTTATTTTTTAATGCTGACTAACGCCATAATATCTAGCAGGGCTGACTTGGACCCCCTTGCTTGGTTCCTGGCTACGTCCATGTACGGAACAGAACCAACTGAGCCGGGGATCGCCTGAGCATTTTAGCGGTAGGTCCACATTAATTTATTCTAAATGGCTTTTTGAAATCTCCGAAACAACACAAGAAATTTACTTATGACGTTCAAGAAAAGGAAAAGAAACATAATATAACCACAAAATCCCCAGATAAAGATAGACAGAGACAG